CCCCAGTGAAATTAGATCAGCGCTCTCCTTCTCCTGGCCTTTAGAAAGAGAACAAAGACATGGTCATAGAACCAAGCTTTTGACTAGTAATGTAATGCAGTACAAGAAGTAAATATGGAATATGTGTAATCGACACCTGGAATGGCCTGGTCTACGAGTTTGATCATGTTATTTTAATGTTTTTATTAGGTGTTTTTAAGTTTTATACTTCATGTTTAAATGTCCTATTATCTTATGGAGAATTTGTCCTATTGTATTTTATGCTTAGTCATATGTTGTTTATGATTTGGTTTATGTATGTAAGGCATTGAATTTTGCCATTATTTTTGTAAACTGCTTTGAGTCTCCCCAGGTGTGAGAAAAACAGTATATAAATACTGTTAATAAATAAATAAATAAATAACACACCAAAAAAAAAACAAATCACAAAACAGAAGACAAAATTATGTGCAAAAGACTGGAATTAATTTTGGCAAAACCCACATTCAATCAAATGCTTTTGCTCTACCATAAGCTTCACATATCAGTTATTTCCTAACTTGCTTTTCAAGAAAGGAAGTGAAAATAAAACTTTAAATAAGTGTTAAACTTAAGTAGATCAAGCTTCAATAAACTAAATCAATAAATGAAACTGGGTCATTTGACCAGAGAAATCTGAAAACATGTTCAACAGATTGGAAAGTAGCGGAACAGAGCTTCAAATTCTACATTACTGCTTGTTAGCCTGAGGTATGTTTCAATATACATGTCAAAAATAGCTCTCTCTCTCTCTCTCTCTCTCTCTCTCTCTCTCTCTCTCTCTCTCTCTCTCTATATATATATATATATATATATATATATATATATATATATATATATATATATATTCTTGGTCCCATCCCTTTAAATTTGAAGGCTCTAATAGCATGGGAAACAAAGTGAACCAGAAATAACCAGATCAGCTTTTAAAAAAAAACATTATTTCCAAGCAATCCAAATTCCATGGTACTGATGTTTCAAAAGGAAAGCTAGAGGCAGGAAGCACTAGCTATTAATTTTAAAATATAATAATTGGGACAAGACAATATCAATGTAACCCTACAGGGATTGTTTGAAGAAAAAAAAAACTGGGTCAGAACAAGATTGCCTGAGTAAATAGGAATTCTGCAGCGAAGCAACATACGGTAGCACAAGAGCATCAAGCCCTCTGGAAAAATTAGTCAACCCTTACAGAAGCTTCGGTGACACCAAAAAAAGACCTTTTTTTGATAAAATCAAACAAAAAGACAAAGTAAAAGTGGCATGTTTGCTTAGCTAATAGGGGTGACGAGCTGTCATTTGCGCTACATAAAGAATTCAGTGAGAAATGTTTGGTTAGCTTGAAACATATGCCAGCTTATGTGTGTTTTTCAATCCATCAAACTCTGCTCTTATCTCATACTTTTTCAATACCTTCACACTTTAAATTACATCAAGGTATTTTGTTTCTTATGGGTAGTTCCCTGGTACTTTCATTCTGTGTTCCCAAATCTGAAATCCCACCAGGAATACCCTTTCCAACTTTTAAGCAAGTAGTAAAATCAGAAACAACTGTAACCCATTAGAATGAAAATTGCTTCTTGTAAAAAACTATATGGAAGCTGTTGCCAGCTAAGATGGCAGCACCTCAGCCAGAAATTTCTGAAAGACACTGATCTAGCAGACTTGACCCCTGAAAGCCACCATCTTTGCCAGGGCTTCTTTGCTGCAGATAAGGTTAAGGTAAAGATTTCCCCCGACATTAAGTCTAATCGTGTCCGACTCTGTGGGGTGGTGCTCATCTCCATTTCTAAACCGAAGAGCCGGCGTTGTACATAGACACCTCCAAGGCCATAGGGACTGCATGAAACACTGCTACCTTTCGCAGAAGCAGTACCTATTGATCTACTCACATTTGCATGTTTTCGAATGGCTAGGTTGGCAGAAGCTGCGCCTAACATCAGGAGCTCACCCCACTCCCCAGATTCAAACCATCAACCTTTCAGTCAGCAAGTTCAGTAGCTCAGCGGTTTAACTTATAGAATTAATTAATTCAGATAGAATTAAATAATTCAAGACCCAAAAAGGTAGATTGTCATGCATATAATCTTACCAAAACTAGAAGAAATGGCAGACTCAGTTGCCAGCACCACACTGGCCTCTATACAGGCATCAAGCAGAACAACAGCAGCAGTTGCCTGGGCATCAGTTTGGCTCAGGCACCATAACATGAATGCAAGAACTTATTCTAATTTGACCTGTTTTCTCCAGTTTTGTTCTGTTAAAGAACAAGGAAGTCCTCTAAATTTAGCAACATATGTAATGTCATACTGTTTCCAGATGGAAGAGGCAGTCCAGAAAATACATCAACAAATTTTCCTTTCATTACAGAGACAAGAGTGGCAAGTCCTCCAGTGTCTAAACCAGATTCATCACAAGAACAGTGTCCATCCAATCCAAGGCAACTGAGGCAGCCAAGAGGAATCGTCACAGATTCCGATGACTATGAAAGAAAGCAACAATCAAATGGCATTTTGGGATTTTGCTTGCATAAATAGAAATATAAAGTCTAGATCCAGGGAAGTCATGCTACTCCTCTATTCCGCCATGGTCAAACCAGACCTGGAATACTGTGTCCAGTTCTGGGCACCACAGTTGAAGGGAGATGTTGACAAGCTGGAATGGGTCCATAGGAGGTTGACTAAAATGATCAAGGGGCTGGAGAACAAGCCCTATGAGGAACAGATTAAAAAGCTGGCCATGTTTAGCCTTCAGAAGAGAAGGCTGAGAGGAAACATGATGGCCATGTATAAATATGTGAGAAGTCATAGGAAGGAGGGAGCAAGCTTGTTTTCTGCTACCCTGGAGACAAGGACACATAACAATGGCTTCAAACTACAGGAAAGGAGATTCCACCTGAACATGAAAAAGAACTTCCTAACTGTGAGAGCTGGTCAGCAGTGGAACTCTCTGCCCTGGTGTGGTGGAGGCTCCTTTTTTGGAGGCTTTTAAACAGCCTAGATGGCCATCTCTCAGGGGTGCTTTGAATGCGATTTTCCTGCTTCTTGGATGGCCCATGAGGTCTCTATGATTCGATGATTTCTTCATGCTTCGGAGTCCTCATCTCTGGTATTACAACAGTGAACAGATTTATAAGGATTAAGGAAAAAAGCCGTAAGACATGTTTCAGTCCTCATCAAACCTTCAGGCCAGTCAGTATAAATCATGCCACGAATCATCTCATGGATGCAAAAGTCACACAAAAAAATTTCCACCATTAAAAGAAAAGAAAAAGATTATTTAGTTTTCAATTTCATCCTTCTATGTTTCACAAAGAACAGTCATCCTTTGCACCTTGGTAAACACTGTAAGCTGCCCCAAGTCCCTTTGGGGAGATGGTGGTGGGGTATAAAGGTAATTACTATTATATTCTTTGGAGAAAAGAGGGAATATAAATATAATACATAACAGATACAGAAATAGCTTCTGACAAGGGGGTTCAGCTGGGGCAATTACTCCATGCTTTTCCTAAAGGCTACTATCTGTGCACACCAAGAAAAGGCAGAAGGGAAACTATGAGCCAGGCGATTCATACCCGGCAACTCCCCAAAAGACTACCACTAGTCTGAGATCATTCTGTTTTGTGTCTTTTAATTTTAGCTCTATGTATTCAAAAGCTATTTAAATAGTTTTAAGTATGTTGACCTGAAGGCCTTAAAAGCATGAAGCACATAAATAAAACATAACTGCTTAAAATTTTATTCTTTTTTAATTGTTGCTCAAGTCATTGCTTAGATTTAATTATATTTTAATAGATGATGGACATCACCCAATGGCACATTTCCTCTGGCCAAAATGGGTGACCCCCCTCCCTTCTGTAGAATTTGATGTATCATAAAAATCTCTTCTGGACAACTGGGAAACTATTCAAGAATTTTTTTCAGCATGAGCAGCTGGGGCAGAAGCGGAAAGTACAGATGCTATCACCACCCTCACATTGGATGTAGTCTTAAACCAGCAGAATTTCCATGAGCATTTAGACACAAACACAAAGAATATCATAGAATCGTAGAGTTGGAAGTGTCCTCATGGGCCATCCAGTCCAACCCCCTGCCAAGAAGCAGGAAAATCGCATTCAAAGCACCCCCAACAGATGGCCATCTAGCCTCTGCTTAAAAGCCTCCAAAGGAGCCTCCAAGACACTCCAGGGTAGAGTTCCACTGCTGAACAGCTCTCACAATTAAGAATTTCTTCCTAATGTTCAGGTGGAATCTTTCCTGTAGTTTGAAGCCACTGTTCTGTGTCCTAGTTTCCAGGGCAGCAGAAAACAAGCCTGCTCCCTCCTCACTATGATTTCCTCTCACATATTTATACATGGCTATCATGTCTCCTCTCAGCCTTCTCTTCTGCAGGCTAAACATGCCCAGCTCTTTAAGCCACTCTTCATAAGGCTTGTTCTCCAGACCCTTGATCATTTTAGTCGCCCTTCTCTGAACACATTCCAGCTTATCAACATCTCCCTTCAACTGCAGTGCCCAGAACTGGACAGAGTATTTCAGGTGTGGTCTGACCAAGGAAGAAGAAAGGGGGAGCATGACTTCCCTGGATCTAGATATTAGACTCCTATTTTTGCAGCCCAAAATCCCATTGGCTTTTTTAGCTGCAACATCAAATTGTTGGCTCGTGTTTAACTTGTTGTCCATAAGGACTCCAAGATCTTTTTCACACACACTGCTGTCGAGTCAGGCATTGTCCCCCTTTCTGTATCTTTGCATTTCATTTTTTCTGCCTAAGTGGAGTATCTTGCATTTGTCTGATGAAAATATATTTTAATGTCTGGAACCTATTAATAAAAGAGGAATACTTTGTCAATCACTGCCCTGCAGCGTGTGCAAAACTGAAGCGTTTTATGACTCTTTGAAATCCCTATGGCAAAACAGCATCTAGCTCTCTCTAAATAGCACAGTTATGTACAAAAAAAGAACACTTCAACGGAGTCCAGGTCCCTTTAAACTTTGCATATTTATTACAATCTGCCCACTCCTCCAGGAAACAAACAGTGAACTTTTGTGACTTTTCTTTCATGGAAAAAAAGTTAAGTGACCCAGAGGAGGTGCGATGCTATATCAATGCCAAAAGAGAAAAGCATGTTTAAAACAAAAGGGCATCCAAAATCAGGGGGGAGATGGGGAGGGGAGGGAGTACAAGTATATTAGAAAAAAGATACAAGTTAAAAAAATCTATTTTCTGCTACTCTTTTTCAACAATTTTCACAGCCAAAGGATGAATTCAATACAAAAATGCATTTACAAGGTCACCTTCCAGAATAAAAGCCACTTTATAAAGACAATTCATTATGTCTGTATTTTTTTTAAAGTTATGATCATTCTGACAGTATTTGTTGAAAGGAGTTATAGCTTCTGTTTTCACTGCTTCTGTGAAAAGAAACAATTACATTTTATACTCTGGCTTCAGTACCAATTCACCAAGATGCCAACTGAGATAGTTTCCACATTTAGTGAAGAACTGTACATCTTGCAACATTCCTATGTGTGACTGGGTATTTCAGACAGGAACCCTGAAGTACCACATGTGAAATGCAAGTAGAAGAACCGCATGCATTAAAAGTGTGTACAATACCAGCTTTTCTTTCCAGTTTCAGAAATGTGTACTAATACTGCCCTCACCCACTGGGTTAAAATCTAAAATCTAGTCTAACCATTCACCAGTATGAAGCTGCTATGAATGGCTTGAGAACTTCATGAGAACAAAGTGAGAGGGCAAGTACGAAATGCCAAAATTTCAATTCCAGGCTTCAAAAACCCACAACTTATTTTTTCCTTCTATGGTATATTTTGGTATTACAGCTAGGAAAGAGCTGCAAATGGTGATCATCCTTCTAAAGCAACCAATAATCACTACTTGGTTTTCAGATACAGATCATTCAGATCCACTTGCCTTTGAAGGGTGGATCTATCATTTATATTCTGGCTATCACAGCTTCAGATCAGAGAGTAGGGCAGGTAGAGAATAAGGGACTTCACTATGTCTGTAGGCTACATGAAATCAAGATACAGTCCAAAACAAAAATTAAAGGATTCGCTCCCTACAATGGTCCTGAACTGAACAAAAAGCAATTTTGAAATTATTGGGTCAAGTGATAAATCCCAACATAGCCAGAAAAGCCTTCTAACCTGACCGCCAGATGGAAGAATTGTGTTAAGAGGCTTGCTTTTGCAGCCTTGTGTTGGGAAACTACGGACAGGGAATCCTTGTCAGAGGGGTAAGAAACCACCATATATTTTTTTCATTTTCTTTTCAGATTTTATTTGAAATCTAATTCCAAGTTGTCAAAGCTACAAAAAGGGGGGGGGGGGAGGCGAGGGGAACAATAGTGTTTTCCCTCATAATTCACAACATTCTAAAACAAAATATCACTACTGCCAGCAGATCAGTTACACACATTTCCGATGAAGTTTCTAAACACAAAATCTTATTTTGGGAAGTAGCCACAATGAAGGTATTTGTACAATATAAAACAATGAGAGGTCTACCAATGCAGTTACTCATGAGTATACACGTGCATTCACAAAAAAAGATTAGGAATGCTTTTTGTTTTGTTAAACAGACTTTTCAGGCACAAAACCAAAACCGCATTTCCAGTAAGTGACAGCATCATAAAAATAAAAGAGTTTGTCAGTGTTTGCTTTTCTTTGATTTCTTGTGGGATCTGTGTGGAGAGCGGGACTGGGATCTGGATTTTTTTCCTGACTTTTTAGGTGACCTGGATCGTGATCTTCTTGATCTTTTGGGTGTCCTTGAGCCAGATGGTGACCTAGAAATAAATTGTCTGATGTCAATAGATTGTTCATTTGATTTCTTTCAGCGAGTAACTATCAACATTCTTATTGATTTCAAGAGAGATTAAGTCATGCTGGCTTTTATATAATCTTTCCTAAATAAAATCAACTGTACCATGGCACTCAAAAATATATTTTAAAGATCAACAGAAATAAAGCATGAGCATTATCCAAACTTTTTATTACATTCATAGTCACAGAATCAGAGAATCATGCAATTGTAAGAGGCCTCGTGGGCTACCTTGTCCAACCCCTGCTCAATGCTAAAGAACCTCAGCAGCAGCCTCTTTTTGAAGACGTTTGGGGAAGGAGACTCCACCACCTCTCTAGGTAACAGATTCCCTTGCCAAACCCTCTTACTCTCAAATGTTCCCCTGTAATGTTAAATAGAAATCTACTCTCCTGTAACTTGAAACCATTAGTCCAGTGGTTCTCAACCTGAGGGCTGTGGACCACTGGTGGGCCGCAAGACCTAAAATGAGGTCCATGGCTTTAGATCAGTGGTTCTCAACCTGGGGTTCCCAGATGTTTTTGGCCTTCAACTCCCAGAAATCCTAACAGCTGGTGAACTGGCTGGGATTTCTGGGAGTTGTAGGCCAAAAACATCTGGGGACCTCAGGTTGAGAACCACTTCTCTAGATTATTAAATATGGTATTCTGTGGGTGAGCAGATGGTGACTACTGAATGGCATATGTTCTGTATCAGAAACTAGAGCTGATGTGGCCTATCCAATACAATTTTCTGAATCGGCCTCCCAAACAAGCAAACTAAATCTAAAGTTGACCAAAAACTGATTCATAACCCGTTTGGTACTAATGTTGAAGTGATCCCTGGTCAAAGTGGTCCCTGGCCAAGTGGCCCCTGGTCAAAAAAAGGTTGGGAACCACTGCATTACACCCAATCCTACCTTTAGGGCACCAGAGAAGAGGATTGCTCCCGTCCTCTCTGTGACAGTCTTTGAGGAATTCATAGAGTGTAGCAGTCACACCCCTCCCCTCCCTGTCTTCTCTACACTAAGCTGAACAAAGCCTAGCTCCTTCAACCTTTCCTCATTAATCTTATTCTCTGTATTTATAATATAATATAATATAATATAATATAATATAATATAATATAATATAATATAATATAATGTATATACATATAATATTGATATTATGTAATACAATATATTACTACTACTAATAAAATGATATTATAATTAAATATTTTATATTAAATGTAATATTACTAATAATATTACAGTATAATGGTATAGTACAATGTAATATATAATATTAATATTGTGCTATGATAATAATATAATATATTGTATTTACTTTTTACTTGGAAGCTGCTCTGAGTTCCCTTTAGGGTGAGAAGGGCGGCATATAAATGTCATAAATAAATAAATAAATAATAAATAAATAGATTCTTCTTACAATCCCCATTGCCCTTCTCTCAACTTGCAGCAACTCGTCTTCTCTCAACTTGCAGCAACTCCTCAACCGGGAAACTATGCTTATATTAATACAAGTTAAAACAGCATTCATCTTATTTACTACAGCATTACAGTACTGAGCTATGTTCAACTTATGATTACCAATAATCCAAGGGTCCTTTTTGCATGTTACACTGCTGAGCCCCCCCCCCCCACACACACACACACACACAGACACACACAAATACCTGTAGATTTGGTTTTTGTGGCCTAAATGTAGAATTTCAATTTGTCTCTAAATTTAATTAGTTTTTCCTAATTTATCTAGGCCCTTTTGAATTCTGTTCCTATCTTCCAATGTGTTAGCCACCAGTCCTGGTTTTGCAAACTTAATAAGGACTCCTTCCTTCCTGTTATCTAAGTCACTGATAAAAATGTTAGAAGAGTAGAAGCCTTGGAACTGAACTCCACTTGAGACCTCATTCCAGTCTGAAACACTGACATTGATGACAACTCTTTGAACAGTTTTCCAACCATTAGTAGATTCATTTTCCCATCTATTCAGCATTTAATCAATCTGAAAATCAGAATATTATGGGAAACCTTATCAAATGTCTTGCTGAAATCCAGATAAATGATGTCCACAGAATGATCATGATGTATTAAATTAGTGATATGATTAACAAAAAGGTTGTTCTTCACAAACCCTTGCTGGCTCCTACTGACCATTGCATTATCATCAAGATAACTGCAATCAGACTCCTGTATTATCTCTTCTAATTATTTGTTTCCCGGCACTGAGGTCAGGCTGATTCTGTGCTAATTTCTTGGATCTTTTGCTTTGCCTTTTTTGAAGAAAGGGACAATGTTGGCCTTCCTCCAGTCCTCTGACACCTCATTTATTCTCCATGATTTCTTGGAAAGATTGATTCGTGTAATTCAATATACCTCAGGAGTAAGCCCTCGCTGCTCTCTTAACTACATCAGACAAGGTTATCAAAATTATGTCATGCCCCATCAGCCTATGAAGTCCTTCTATTAACTTCTTTGGTCCTAAAGTGTTCAAAATGAAGCTGTGTGTTTCTATTAAAATGTATAAACTCAGAAGTATATACAGAATGTCTAAAGATCAGGGATGTTTTCGCTGTGGATTCCTGCATTGTCAGTGGATGCAGTAGAAGATCCTTGGAGGTTCCTTTTAACTCCAGATGTTTTAGATTTTGTGAGTGTTTCAGGACAAGATGCTTATTTCATATGCTTTCATTTTCCTTCCCCTAAATCTTTTCAACCTTACAAATCCTTTTCACTTCCCACAATTTTATTTTTACATTACAATGTCTCTCTCACAACACATTTTTACCCTGGCCTTAAAAAACTGACCTTTCTTCATTTTAACCTTTCTTTTTGGTTTGCCATTCTAATTTTGTGTAGTGCCTAGTAATATTAGAACAGTGGTGAAAATCATTGTTTTGAATATAATAAAAACTCTCACAGGTCCAAAACTTATCTTAATGACTATAGAAAAAAACTTTTACTCATGCTAGAGGCTCACAATTAATTGGAAACAAAAGTTCATGGACAAAAAGGTTCCCTTTGGTCACAAAAGACCTTTAAATCCCTTAAAGAATCATACCAGCCAAAAGAAAAGGCACTTTTTGTCAATTCTAACTTTCCAATTACAGCTCCCAACACCTAACCCTAACCCTAACCATCCCACAAACTCCAGAAAGTATTTTCATAGTGTACAAAGGAGAATTGGCCAAAGTTGCCTCCCCACTTCCACCAATAAGAACAGAGTCTACATCCAAGACAATTTAAAACTGCATGACCTCCACAAACTTTTGTCCATGAACTTTTGTTTCCAATTAATTTGAGTCTCTATCATGAGTAAATGTTCATTTCTATATTCATTAAAATAGGTTCTGGACCTTTGAGATATCAAAAGCTTTTTATTTTATTCAAAATAATTAATTACACAGATATATCTTGTCCTAATTCCGTCTAACTACAAAGTTTGTATTGCTATTACCAGTCTCCAAATGCCTTATACCCTTAATAATAAAATGATTTTTTTTTACTTCTCTAAATACTTTCTAGCTTCAATCACAGCATGGCTATTCTCTCCCATCTCCAGTTCTGGGATATTTTTCCCCTTCTTTTCTCATCTCAGGTATCTCCAAAAATCACTGAACAGTGTTTGCACTTATGCACTTATCAGTGACATCTACTGGCAGATAACTTTAAGGACAAACCTATTTCAGCAGAATATATGACTGAGTACTTTTTTAAAAAGATCAACTAAAACTATCAGTGATGGGTTAACATAGCATTCAGAATATCTGCATTAGCCTGTTTTTTCAAGAAAATCGGCAATGGTATGTAAACCACATTTGTTATCCCCCTCCCCCCACAAGATTGCAGTTCAGTCCACAACTACTGTGTATACTCATATACACACCTATACAGTGTACAGTAGAGTCTCGCTTATCCGACATAAATAGACTGTTTCTCTTTTATCTCACCCGAGTTTTTAACCAATTTTAATTAGTCTTTCTTTTAATCATTACATGTAGCCCGCCCACTGTCATTGTGTTTGTGTTATTGTAATTTTATATCGTTATTTATTCACATGTTTTATGTAATTATGAATATGTGCTTTGTTTGCGTTTTTTGGTTTGCGTTTTCAGTCTTATTTTATTGTAATTTTGTTATTTGGGCTTGGCCTCATGTAAGCCACCCCATTGGGACGATGGTGGTGGGGTATAAATAAAGTTGTTTTTTATTATTTTTATTTATTTATTTATTTATTATAAGAGCATTGGATAAGACAGAATGTCGGATAAGCAAAGGTCAGATAAGCGAGACTCTACTGTAGTTTTAAAAAAGGGACCTTGAAAAACCTGGGTCAATTTATCCATAAGTCAATGTAAGAACTGTACCTTCTTATATTTAAAAAAGGAACCATCTATGAGTAGAGTGGCAAAAGGCAACAGCTTAGAAACGAAAAGGAGCACCGGCCCTATCTAGTCTCTCTGCTTCTGGCCTTTCTGAATGTCTGGACAGAAAAATGGCAGCTAGGCCCAAAGTAGTGCTGTGAACTTCATCTTACCAATATGTCATATCAAAATCCCTAATTTTGACCCCCAAATCTGCCCTCAACCTATACATAAGTTTGACTTCTAGAGGAATCTACAAGACACTTCAAAATCATCTGTCAATGAATACAACTGAGCTTATAGTTGATCAGGCATGCAAGAGAGTGCACTAAAACCTATCTTCCCATGAAGAAATAAACATCTGAGAGAGTAACCATCAATCTGAATACAACAACCTCTTACATAACAGTAAAACGAATGTTGGGAAACAGGCTACTTTACCTTTTGGCTTTTTTACTGGCATCTCTGGGAGAATCTTTGTGAGAAGACCTGGAACGTGAGCTCTCTTTGTGTGATCTCTCAGATCGCTCTGAGCGTTCTGATTTGGGTGATGGCGATTTCGCTCGTCTGCTTCCGCTGCTCCGGGACGGGCTGGGCGACGTGCTGTGTCGCCGTTTCCTTTTGGAAGAACAGAAAACATGAGCCTCTGCATAAAGACATCCCTCATCTCATATCAAAAGTGCTTCAAGAATACTCAGTATATAAATATTTTTTAAAGCCATTACGCAGATACTCACAGCAATCAGAGTTACTTTTGCAAGGCACCACAGAGAATAATTAGGCTTGTGAAATCTAAATGTCTAAATACAATTTGGAACTAATTAACTTTCTACCAAAAATCAAGAAAAAAATCAGAATGTAAAAAGATTGACGGAAATATTTCAGGCGCTCCCAGTAGATTTTCATCATCACTAATGACAAATATTTAAATGTCATTTATTGAGGGACCAAAGCTTTAGAAGTGTAACAGTGGCATAAATCCAGCTGCTATCCCCAAACAGGGCAGACCCACTGAATCAGTGGAGTTTATATAATAACTGTCTTACCATTAAGCAATTGATTCAATGTGGCTAAGTCATTGAATTTTGCTCTCTGTTGTGGTTATTTTTCAGTTATGCTGTGGTTAAATATATAGGTAAACAGAAAGGCCTTTGCATTGCTGTATCTTGACAAACAAAACCTTTACAAAGCAAATGCTTTAAATATTTAAATATGTCATGTTTATTTTTTGCAGCTACACTAACTAGCTGCAAAAATTGGTTCTAAATCCCAACATTATTCACTGTTTAATATCATACATTATGTCCAAATGGCAAGAACTGTTCTAATCCTTTCTGCAAGAAAATCATATTAGAGAATTTTAATTACTCACACCTTTCTGGAAAAACTAATTTCTAAACATTATATGCCAAAGATTGAAGTTCCGTATTTAAAATATAAAAACTAAACTGGTCAGTAAAAGAACTGAATAAGTATGTTATTTGGAAGGCTAACTGCAAAGTGAGAAAGGATAAGTCCTTTGTCTGAGATGCTTAAATTCTATTCTATTTTTTTTCATTTTCATTTTATTTCTCATTTCTGTTTTTTCTCTGTCTACTGTGTATACATGGGATAGAACCAAGCTCTAGGGCACATCACAGGCCAAGAATCAGAACTACTGTAACATGGTGTCACCATTTCTCATCCTAGAGACATGGCCAGAAAGAGATCGGGTTGGTGGTACTAGAAGAGGCAGCAAATCTATATATACATATATATTTTATATATACAGTCCCTAGTGTGGCCCATTCATCAACTTGATCAAAACTGTCTCTGTCCCACAGTCAGTTCTCAAGCCAGACTAAAATGTATTTATCTAAGACAATTCATTTCATCCAGGAACTTTTAGATATTTACATTCTGACTCAGTAGAACACAGGAAGGAAGAAGAAATAGAGGTGCAATTGTTTCAGTTATTACACATCAAGTCAGTTACAGAAGAAAAGGAGAATTATCTAATTTAATTAAATTCCATACCTCTCTTTCCTTGTTGGCGTACATTCTTCTTTTTCCTTTTTGTCTTTTGATCTGCATTCAGATTTTTCTTTGTCTTTTTTGTCTCTTTCCCTTTCCCTCTCCATTTCCTTTTCCTTCTCCTAGATTTAAAAGTAATTGAGAACTTTAGACAATTTAGGATTTACCTGACAACAATTCAAGTCCTTCAAAACTCAAGAGGTGTTTCAACCTATGATCACTGCCATCATCAGTGCCATTCATATACCCCCCCCCCATGACTGTGACTCAAAGAAGCTTATAAATTGAAATGATTACGTACAGTTGAAACATTTCTGACAATTATCACTGCTCGTGCAAGTAAGATTAAACTATAGTTTCTCATTAGGTCTAAAACAGGTTTCTTAATTAAATAAGCTGAAATTTCATTATGAACTACTATGAAAAATCCAAATAGTAGCACTCTTACCCTCTGGAGCAGTTTGTCACGGTAGTGTTCGACCTGTTCTTGAAGACTCTGGCCTTGCTTTTTGGGCCTTTTTCCAGATTCCAGTTCATCTTGAAACTTCATTACCTTTAGCTATGGAGACATACATAAAACAACATATATTTAAGAAGAATGACAGACAAATTTGTAGTTTCTGTGGGATTAGGGTTTTCAATTTCTTTTTTCAACCTTAAGGCATACAGCTCAGACATATTTTTATAGGGTTCTCTTCAATGAAGAATATTCAAAATGATTTATCAGTACAATTAATCCAGAACTAGAGTTTTGCTCACATTGCAACCTAACATTCTTCATTAAGAGAGGAGCTGATAAAAAGCTTCTGGCAATTTTAGAGTTTATATTGTAAAACAACAATAACTAAAATCTGCCATTCCTTTGATACTTTTAAGGAAAACAAAAATTAATATTTTAAAATATGTACTAACAGAAACATAACCATAAAAGCCTCTTTTATGGCAAAAATCAGTAAGTTTGAGCAAAATCTAAATATTATAAATTAAAGCACTATGAAAATCTTAATGGTCAGTTCACCTTACTAATCTCTATGAAATGCTTCATTTATGCAATTGACTTTTTGTACCAAAGATTTTTTTTTCCTCTGACAAGCACACACTAATACATATATAAACAAACAAATGAACACCTACCTCAATCTCTCGGAGTTTGGCACGTTTTTCCTCACTCATTTCTGAGTATTTGCTTGAAGACTTTGAATCAGACATTTCTTCTCTGATAGGATTGGAGTACATATGATGCTCCTCTGATTTAGAACTCTGGGTATCTTCCTCATCTTCACTCTCTTCCTCTTGGCTTTAAAAGAGAAGGGTTTTTAAAATTACTCTCTGAAGAAAGCTTTGCTACATAGACAAAGTAGAGTGATCTTCTGAGAGTCATGTGCAGTGCTGACTTTAAGATCAAGGGCCTTATGTGTATACATACATACACACATGAACTACACTCCCTGTCCCACTAATAACATTCAGGATTACCAAAGGAGTGGCCCTTTTCACACTACCCAGCTAAAAATATTTCCCTTCATGTCTTTAGGACTTCTTTCCTCAAACATTTTTCGCACCCAGTTCATTCCTATGTGGAATTTGCACTTAACAAGAGGGGAAACTTCAGCATACCTTTCGAAAAAATTGTATACATATATAGCCTAACCCCATACTTGGATTTGCCTGTGAAATCAACAGGATTAGTCTTTCATGGGCAACAGAAGCAGCAACAAAAGCTTTCAATCTGCTAAGAATAACAATACAGCTTGCACATTATTTCATGGGAGGAAATATGCAAGTTTCCACTGACATTTAATGAAGCATGAAAATTCTACACTTCTATGCCATTTGTGAAATCATCTTTATTCTTCTATAATAAGCTTCAGTTCAAGTGGCCAATAAACAATCCTCAAACATTTCAATTCTTACTTCTGATTTTCCTCCTCTTCTGATTCTTCATGCTGGTCAAACAGTTCCCATTTAGATGTTGTTACCGCTAGGAAAGCCAAAGGAAATTCAGTTATTTTTTAAAATCGTCTCATGACATAATTTGAACCACTGTCTTATTAATATTTGGAACTGAATGGCAAGTTACATACAGAGCTGAATTAGCTTTAACAAATTAAGTGATGTGTTTTAAATACAACCCTAACCTTGTGATTCAAGTGCAGATTCATCCACTGCTTCCCACTTTGAAGGGGCAACTTTGAAAATTGGCTCATTCTTTTTAGACTCTTCAGTAGCATCCACTGTTGAAAGGAAGATTTAAGTAATAACATAAGTTCCAAAATTATCTAAGTAAGTTTATGCTTACTACACATAAAAAATCAGCAAATTTTCCTGTGAAAAAAAGCTGATACGAACAGAAAAACACCCTAAGTATATTTAATCGAAAAAGTCCAAATTACAACTGCTACCCTGAGCACATTCAGAAAAGTCAGACAGAAGATCTTTTTGCAATGCTCTCTACATGAGTCTGCCTTTGAAGATAGTTCGGAAGCTGCAACTAGTTTAGGGATCAGTAACTGGAGTGCCATATCGTGAGAGGACGACTCCCATGCTGCGGCAGCTCCACTGGCTGCCGGTCTGCTTTTAGGCTAAAAACAATGTGCTGGTCGTTACCTATAAAGCCCTAAATGGTTCAGACCTAGACTATTTGCAGAACAGCATCTCTGTATACAAATCAGCTAGAGCACTGCAATCTGCAGAGGAGGCCCTTCTCTCGGTCCCACACCATCTCAAGCACAGCTGGTGGGAACGAGACTGGGGGCCTTCTCCGTGGTCGTTCCCCACCTCTGGAACTCCCTCCCAAAAGAACTAAAAACTGCCCCCCTTCTCCTCACCTTTAAAAGGTTGCTAAAATCTATGAACTCTGGCATACGGAGAGGAAGAAGACTAATATATCTCAATATATATCTAGATATGTTAAATCTTGTCTAGTACTGGAATTGATTTTAGCCTGTTGGTTGTTTTAGGTTTTAGCTGTTAGTTTTAGATGTTTTATCTTGTGATAATTTAAACTTTGTGATTGTGTCTGTTTGTGTCATTTATATGTTACTTTTTTGTTAATTATTATTTGGTATTAAGTTTAAAAGTAATGTTGTTTTATATTACTTGATGTGTTGTGTTTTAATATATTTTGTTTATATGTCTTCTCGCTGGCATTGAATGTTTGCCTAATATGTTGGAAACATATGTTGGAACAAATATAAATAGAAAATTCACTGCACTCAAACAAAATGATAAAAAAACCACAATAAAGATGCAAACCGCTTTAGAGGTCTGATCAAAAGCTTTGCAGGATTGGTTTTCATCATATTACAGCTATCCGGTGGAAAGTGTGTCACTGAATCAGATAATTCTTTTTAAAATGTGATAGCAGAAGAGTTTTGGGGTGTATTCAATACAAGCACATATGAAAGTATTTATAATTATTATAAAACCACAACATACTAAAGATACAAATTCTGTTTTTACAAAACTGGACATGGACAAACTACTAACAAACAAGCGACATCATAGCTTTTCTAATTTCTAAGTGAAATGTATTTTTGCAAGTACTGACTTTAAATACTAAACTATCATAATGCATATTGTGAAATTGTACAGCAAGAGTCTAAATACACACTACAATTAAATATGTCTTACAAGGTACACCGTCAAGATCATCATCAAGCGACTTAATAGGAACTCCATCAAGGTCATCAATGGGAGCAACATCAATAGGAATTCCATCCACATCTTCTAGAGGAGCACCATCAAGCTCTTCCTCAATAATAGGAGCTCCATCAAGATCATCAGGTACTTCCTGTAAGTAAACATGCATTCTGAGAATTCTTTAGATTCTCAGGTTTTTTTCTTTTTAATACTCAGTTGCACATAGTTTTTCCCCCATTCACACAAATGTCCAGAATGAACACTTATCTACTGGTTCTGACCAATTCATAAATCTTGGAATCACATATAACAAAGAATGGAAGTAAGCCTATTACCAGTCTAAATACAATGTGACTTGGGAATCTGTGCCTGATTGCCACAATCATCTGACTTCAGAAAAAGAGTCGATGTTTCAGGCATATTGCACTGTGTCGGCATCAAAGTTATATCATGCGTGTCTATGTACATAAAACTGTTGTGTTCATGGATGCATTAACAAGTTGAAATAAATTATGACAAGCAGCTGGAAATTGTTTAAAAGTTGCCAAAAACGACTCCCTTGCAACAAATGTAAAGCATTTTTCTCAGGTTCTGTAAATAGACAGAGAATATCTAACAATGTTTGCACGTGCTGCACGTTTTCATATAGTTCAGAACATGGGCCATAGATGATAAATTCAAAACATCTGAAGCCAATTCTGAATACTTAAAACAAACAAACACCCTTATAAAACAATGCCTTTTAGTCCAACCAAAGCCACACAACATGGAAGAGATGAGAGGCTGCTCTGTAACATTCAGATAGTTTAAAATTCTCTCTCCTTCTCATTCACACACACCTGAATACTGATAAAGAGGCAATGCACGTGCTTCAGGTTCCAAGTAATTCCCAATACGTAACTGGCAAATGAGCTAGTTCAAAGGCAAAGGTATGGACAATGTTAACATTCATATTAGGAAAAAAAACTGTTTATGTAACCTCATATCAAATAGCAGTTTCATGTGGGAAGGAAATCAGCCCTGTTATCCAAAACTGCTGACAGTTTAATTTTCCTTACCTCTAAGGCCTGAGGTTGTCCTGTTTGCTTCCACATCAATACTATCAATAACTGTCTCATCTCACACTTACCTCTGTTTCCTTTTCTTCAATAATATTTACAAGCCCCAAGAAAATATTCTGCAGTTTGATCAAAAATGGTTCTGGATAAATCGCCCAGTCTTCCCATGCTCTGAAGCATGTCATTACCCGTTGCTAAAAGTAGTAAACAATGCTAGTCATTTGTATTGAGAAGTACTTTAACAACAGAATACAAAGCGTGAGGCTATACATATTTTGCATTGTGCCCTTCAGCGATTATTTATACATACTTGTACTGGGTTCTGGTGTAAAACTATCATTAATAATAAAAACCCATGCAGACTATAATCAGAACTGAATGTAGACTGTACTATGCATATCTTCTCAATGCAAGGAAAACAGTAGTACTGTTTTGCTTCAGGAAATGTTAAAGCAACTTTAATTCAACTTAATATAGAATGTAACCCCCATTCTCAGTTTGAAAGAAAATCTCAACCTTAGTTGTTATTTGAAGGTACTTTATATACAGCTACTTTTGAGTTTTCTTCATGTCGCTGGAGCCACTCATTGCCTTCTCAAATAAGCCCGACTCCTAACCTAACTAACTTAATGGTCTGAAGACATATTGCTGAGAATGTGCAGAATTGCATTGTTTGTCCACTTTACTGTCCAACTTCCCTCATTTATGACACATCATTGTAAAAAAATCTCTCTGAGATTGCACCTGATATTGATGTAAATATACTGATTTTGGCACCTGACCATGACCATATTTTCCCAGGACTCCTAACTGCAATATATTTATGCTGCTATTTCTCGTTATGATGCTTTATATTAATTGCTCTTCGTGTTATATTTTTTATGGGAACCATCTTGAAAATGCTTACTGAAGGAAGTCCAGTCCAGAAAGTCATTAAATATATTTTAATTCTCCTCAGGCTACTCATGACATGTCAAAAACAAACACACATATATACACATACCTTGAAGTTTTCAGATTGCAGATGCCCTTGTATTGCTCGGTAGGTTGCATTCAGATCAGAGTATATCTGACATAATTTTGACTCAAAACTGAAAAAACAGTTTTCATAAATTAAGTACAGCACAGTGTTAGTCAGAGGCTTTATACTAGAGCTACAAAAACAAGTCCCCAATTTTACAATGACTCAGCCTATGGGGAGAATATTTGAAATTAAGTCTATAAATAAATCTTTAAGACTGTGAAATACTTATTTAAAATGAGAAAGTTTACTATCGTATTTTTAAAAGATGGAATATCAAACTAATAAATTAAGAAATATACATAGTTGCACATTCATACACAAAACAAGATGTAGCTCTTATGCTATATGACCATATGCTATAGAGCAGAGCTTTCTAAACCTTTTACACTTTTGACTCCTTTCCAACTGAGAAACATGGAATATAACTCAAATGTTTACTGATAATAAATCAGCATTTGCAAGGCTTGCTAAGCAGAGGGATTTTGCTTTTTATGGACTACAGTTGAAGTATCTTCTGCAGAGTCTACTGCAAAAACTGCACTTTGTTGCAAACAAGATTTGTGTAGAAGGGTAGCGTTCAGAAACCTTTTACTGATGCCAAGTTTTTCGTGACCCAAACATTGAGCAAAGAAGATCCTATTTGAGGTTGGGACCCATAGTTTAAAAGGACAGTTACACAGCTTGGACAGAAACCCATTCCCTGTCACTGTGCTGTAAATATTAGGCCTGGGTAACAACGGAAAAATTTGTTTCTAAAATCGATTCGTTTTTTGGGTTTTTTTGCGTTTCGATATTTAAAAGAATTCTGAAAATTTCCTTTAAAAAAGTTTGATATTTACGAAATTTCGTAAATGGTAAAAAAAATTACAAAACAATAACGAAACAATAACGAATCGATTTGTTAATGGCGGCCGCGATCGCGCAATACGCTAAAAAAACTTCTGAAGCTTCCCTCTCCCTCTGTTGTTGACTGTTGGTGTGATATTATAATTTTTTTTCACTAATTAAACAAAAAACAACTATAAAACTTGCCCCAGACATGCGGAAATAATAACGAAACGACCTCAAACCAATAACGAAACGAATACATAACGAAATACGAAGCATTTACGAAACGAATTGAAAAATTCGTTTCGTTTTTAAGATGCTCCAGAATGGTTCGTTATCGCTTCGTTAACAAAAAAAATAACGAATTTTTAACGAATTACGGATTAACGAAACGAAACCGCCCAGCCCTAGTAAATATATCTCAGTTACTATGGTAGTTCCCAGTCTCCCAAGTAATACAGTCAATAAAAAAGGTAAAGTTTTACCCTGACATTAAGTCTAGTTGTGTCTGACTCTGGGGGTGGTGCTCATCTCCATTTCTAAGCCAAAGAGCCGGTGTTATCCGTAGATGCATCCTAGGTCATGTGGCCAGCATGACTGCATGGAGCGCCGTCACCTTCCCACAGAAGCGATATCTATTGATCTACTCACATTTGCATGTTTTCGAACTGCTAGGTTGGCAGAAGCTGGGGCTAACAACGGGAGCTAGCACCAATATTTAGTGTATATAATCATATATTTGGGGGGAGGGGGGGGGAATTATAGATTTTGATGTAACCCATGGATAAATTGAGGGTCACTCCAAAGAGAGGGGGAAATCACAGCAGTACATCAGGGCCAGCTACTCTTGGATGCTACTGATGCCATTTTGTTACCCAGCACTCAAAAAGCTGGAAGCAGTACTGCAGCAGAGAGATTAAAAGGGGATGGACTAAGTTCTTGCCTTTGCCAGGAGCTGATTTTTGTTGTTCGAGAAGTCACCATAAACCATAAAAATGAACAAAATCTGGCTACTAGTATTTAAAAAACTCTAAAATTATAACAGTAAATTAAGAACAAAACTACAACAAAGGGGAAATCCAGAGAAGAAACAATCAGGAACAGCTAATCAGCTCTCAACAAAGAATTCCCCCAGGCAGTAACAAGGTGCACCTTGAAACTGCTAGGGCATTAAATGCTAATCAAGGTGACCAATTGAAACATTCACACCTAGCTCCAACAGACAAGAGTTCTTCCTCCCACCCTGGACTTTCCACAGATACATAAACCCAATTTTTCTAGTTTCCAACAGATCTCACAACCTCTGAGGATGTCTGCCATAGATGCAGGTGAAACATCAGGAGAGAATGCATCTAGAACATGGCCATACAGCCCGAAAAGCTACAACAACCCAGTGATTCCAGTCATGAAAGTATTCGACAATAAATTGACCTTGTTTGGGAGTTTAATTTCCTGACAAAAATGTGTACAGCAGTGGTTCTCAACCTGTGGGTCCCCAAGTGTTTTGGCCTACAACTCCCAGAAATCCCAGCCAGTTTACCAGCTGTTAGGATTTCTGGGAGTTGAAGGGCAAAACATCTGGGCACCCACAGGTTGAGAATAATTTGTGTACACATATCTGAGAATATACAGTAGGTCTGTTACTTCCTTCTTTTGAAAGAGTTCAAAACTTTGATACTTACAATTTTCTGTAATATGAAGCATTGGCAACTTTTGCAGATGAATTGTATAGCACATCAGAAACCAAATATAATCTTGCAATCTGCAAAGATAATGGAAATATTATCTTATGATATTATCACAGACTGAAATACAAGCTACATCGGTAGATACCACCATCTCAGAGAAGGACAGAACACCAATGGAAAAAATTAAAGATTGATTGGGATATTTTTTTTCTGTGTCTATTTCTGTACTATTTTTTGTTTGTAGAAAATAAATTACACAGCAAGTGATTGAAATCTAGCACAGTGTTTAAAACTTTGTAGGGATAGAATAGAATACCTACATTACAAGTCTAAATCCTATGTAATTTTTGCAACAAATATAACTTGGGCAGAGAACTAAATTGTCCTTTTGTAAAGGAAATTAATTTAATGTCAATGTGAATGAACTATGTGAAAAGTTAATACAGAAATACACAGAACACAGTGAGAAATCAATCCTACCTTTTTGGGAAGTGGAGTTTTCAAGATGGATAGCGACTCAGCAATGCAGTCTACAATTTCTTCTGCGGCTTCAGCATTATTAAGACAGAAAACCATTGCATCTCCAATATCATTCTTACGCGGTGTTAACCCACGCAGGATTTCCTCTAATTTGTCCCTCTGTCTAAAATTCCAGTTTCAAATTTTTAGAACACTTAGCAACACCTTTTCTGCACATTTATAAGTGAGCCTTATTGTACATTATACTTTAGGAGGAAAATAATCTAGAACAATCAGCACTATATCTACACATTTTATCGAAACATGCTAAAATTAATTTTTTTCTTCAATATTATGCCACATGTAGCAAAAAAGGATCCTTAGAAATGCATTCTTAGTAGAAACATTGATTTAAGAGGCCTTCCAAAAAGAAACAAACAAACAAACAAAAAGAGGTGACTAGCTCTTCTCCTTCCTAATGGAAGGCCACAGGCAGACAATTACGGGTCTAAGTGAAAGATGTTATATTGGGCTTTTCAAAGATGCTTACTCCTCCTTAAGTGCGCCCTTCTTGCTTGGCTCCTCTACAAAGGCTTCGGGTTCTTGTTCTTCTGACATTCCATGGAGATAAGGATTCAAAGGAGGTGGTCTCCAAAATGAGCCATTTTTAAACATACGGAAATCTTCAGTCCTCCATTTGGTTGGAGCGTCACCCTAATCAGCAAAAAAAGAAAAACAAAAGGAGAACAAGAGTGAAAAGAAACAATCCCTCCACAAAGAGAAGAAAACCAGACTCCAGCAAAGAACAAGAATATGCAAGTGTGCACTTGAGGAAGGGCAATGCAGAGTTGATTAATAACTAATAAAGCCATGAAATCATGATGTTTTGCCCTGGCAAACTGATAACAGCTTTTTCTCTAACAAGTGCTGTGACCTTCCTGAGTCTGTGAAGCAGCTCTGAGTTTGCGAAAACTAAGCCTCCTATCTAACATTTCATTAACCTTTCCACCTGGCAGTTCATCCTCTGAACTTGCTTCCCTAGAGAAAGACTTCTCTGGGCCCCTCTGGAATGTGACCTTCACCTTCACTAACTGAAGAAGACACAGTATGCTCAATTTCAGGACTTAAAATGTCACGCTGGCTCGCAAGCTAATCAGGCCCTGAAATCCCATGATTCCCCTTCCTCATTGACATTAGGCACTATCATTGGCTGAATTACAACAGTCTCAAGGAATGATGTCACCATTTTTTTATCTGACTAAGGGATCATATAAAAAGTCTTTTCTGATCTTCCCTATTCTTTCACTCTGTAACAGCCACTGTCATAAAGAGGAAGCTATCGCAATGAAACAGTAGATCTTGCAGCAGGGAGGACTTTTACCACTGCAGAGGAAGGAAGAGAATGCCAATCTCTACAATGACCAAAGACACATACACATTATGCTGAACTTACACTTGCATATTTCACTAACAGGACATCAGCCAAAATATTTCAACATACATACCATTTAAAAATATTTCTTTACCTGTAGAATTGAATAAAGCTTCCACCTGTAGTATACATGGGCCGGAGTCTGATTCTCAAACAAAAACCTAGCAGGGGGAAAAGCAAAGTGTGAAATTAAATTGTAAATACATGAAAAGGCATTTACATCTGCTACTAAAAACACTTCTTTCAGAATCTTCTCCATCCAACAAAGTTTATTTTAATAAATACGTAGTTCTCACAGTCAAGGAAAGATGCAACACCCACCCACCCCCCACCCCAGTACCATTTTAAATTACTGCTGAATGCTCACATGAAAGAACATTCATGCATTAAAAAAAAAAGAAAGTAAAATGCCGTCAAATAAAAAATAATATTCTTAGTAGAAAGGTAACCTAGAATTTCTTTCCTAAATATCTCATTTTCTGTATCTGGGGATTTTATTTTAGCACAGAAACTCTCAATTATCTAAAAGGCACAGTATGGAGTATTTCTACCTTACCTGCTAATTGAAAACTATATCTACTATCTATATTGTTTTGTACCACATACATCACTGCATACCAATACTTGAGATGAACTAAATACAACATGCAATACTGAACAGAAATAGGGAAGCAAAAATAACCACCTGAACATTGGGTTGTTGATTTCTCTATTCATAATCATGGCTTCAAACATGGGTCCCTCACGCACCACAAATTCTATCATTCGATGTATCAGCGCAAGCAAATTCCTACAACAACAACACAGTTAAAGAAAAATTGATTCAGACCTAACACTATACAAACTAAACTCCACCTAAGATATTAATAAATGATTATTTTGCTGGACAGTGAGAAAGATTTAAACAATTTTGGAGCAGTGTTCTAACCATTAGAGAGAGTAAAAATTAAACTAATGATTGAGTCTTCAATGATAAACCCTGATGCAAGAAAGTTCTATGGCTCATATCTTATCTATTTCAAATATAAAAAATAATAAGTTTATTTTGTCTGAGGTAAATGGAATGCTATACAAATGTTGTATTAGCATTTTCTAGACTAAATTAACTCATGGCGAAAATTATTAAATAATAAATATTTTAGAAAAAAATAAATGTTGGCAAAAAAAAAATCCAACCCTGATGTACTGTTGTGTGTCTACATAGACAAATACAATCAAACTACAGGGGCAGACAGGAAGTATCTGAGAGCAACCAAAGCAGCAGAACAGCTAATAACTGGGTAAATAAGGTCCTGATCATAGTCAGTCCCTTTAATGGGGAACCATTTTTGTGGTAGAACAGAAATAGTTATACAGTGGGCTCTCTGGGTTCATGGGCTAAATATCTGAGATTCCCACAGACTGCAGATTGTCATGCTGCATATTATTAAATGTCATATCACCAACTCCTAATAATATGGACGATGATCATCCATGTATTTTAAAAAATGAGCAGGGTCCTGGCATTGAACCTTCCAGATATGGTGGGCTCACTGTACTTTTAAATTAGTACAGCATTAGGAAGAACACTTTCTCCAGGTGAAGATTTAAAACTGAGATAAGAATGTTGTCATTAGTGACAACGCTCCATACAATTATAATTTATGATCCACAAGCTATGACTGCTATGCACAGTTATACTTCTTTAGTGAATATAATCAGAGACTCTACGTACCACATGTAAACATTTCAGATTGCATTGAAAGATCTAAGTCTATATAATATGAAACTTCAAATCAAATGCTACAACGTAATTATAATGTAATTGATCTTATTTTAAAGTTTCTCACATTTTCAATATATTGACTTGCATTGTTGAACTTAAGGAAGCTAACAGGGAAAGTCTTTGTGAAGGGTCCTCCTGAACAATGTGGGACCGGAAAGAAGTGGCACTGGGAAGGAGGAAATCACTAAAATTAGGCTAGTTGAATTCCCCTTAAGCTGGAATATCCCTGAACTCCATCATTGCTGTTGTCGTGGGGCTCTCAAAACCACAAAAGTTTTTTTCCCTCAGAAATAGTGATGGTAGAAAGAAGAAGGGACTAAGTACTTTCCATCTGTGAACTTCCTTTAACTTTTCTTAAGAAGCAAGCCATTCACACCCCAATCCAGAGAAGTCCAAAACGAAGATGCATTCAGAATGAGTCTGTTTTTAAAATTGAACAGCAATATTATATACTCTCTTGCAAACTGCAGTTCATATTTCTGTAGAATTCAAACAAATATCTACAATGCTATACCAGGAAGATGCTAAACAAAAGGTTTTTAAAACCCATGGTGCATGCGTTTGCTTATGCATATGAAAAGGGCCTCATTGGATTGGGGTGCTCAGCTGGATATCAAAACTCAGCATTAAAATAAGAATAAAAGTACATAATTGTCTCCTCCAGTGCTCTGCCGCATTCAAAAGGCTAAGCAAGAATTATAGCCCACTATTTTAAAACTACAATTCTTTTACATTTTACACTCAAGCTTAATCTTTTTATGAATTTTCTATGTGCATAACACTTCATTTTGTGCAAACTACTTTCAGGCAAAACATATCTGTTATGTGATAAAACACTGAAAGGAAAACATCTTCCTACTCTACTGATCAATATAATTATTACTACATATATGAGGCAAGCTATAACTACTAAAATAGCTTACATCTAGTATATTGAGTTCAGTCCTTTTTTCTAGACTTACTGCTCAAAACATTCCAAATAAATCATGAATCATTTTATTCACTGCAGCTTTCTAGAAGTAGAAATAACAAAAGTACACAAACTATACTTGAGAATATCAAACAACCCAGTTATTTCTGTTTTTTACTTTTAAAATCTCTCACAATCCTCAAAATGCACAGTTGAAATATCACCTCGTTCCATATGTTGTTTCCTACAACACAAAACAATCTGAGGCCATTATGCCAAGTCAAATACAGAAAATTGCTAGGCCTTTTCAATAGTGTCATCCCAGTTGCCAGAAAGACCTCCAAAATTCCTGTTGGAATGATAGTCCTTATCATCCCAGGTCTTTAAAATAGTTTTATTAAGCAATTTCTTATTTATGAGGTGGATTGCTTAACTTAAAGATTGACCTCTACTGTAGTGTTATGTCTTTAGTATCTGCTAATTTTATTTTCTCCTTATATTCTTATTCAGCACTGATTAAATGCTGCACTTTATTTTACTGTGTTCTTATTATATTGTTGTTTGCCATTTGCTGTTTTGAATCCTGGACAGGTAAGATATTTATTACAAGACATTAAATCGGTTACCATAAGTCAAAAACTACTTGAAAGCATCAAATTGAAGCCTATAATGAGGCACCACTTTGTTTGATTTTATCCTTTTAAAGGTCTACTAAGGCTGCAATAATAAACTCATAAACCCAGGAGAATTTACACTGGGGTCATTTGTTGTGCTATAAATCTTTTTCTAAAGGAGGGTGTACTGTTTACAATGCTTCAAAAAGCAAAGCTTTATGACAGGAAATAATTTTCACATTTCTGAAAGGCTTCAGTTTGGTTATTCTGATACACTGGCATTGCACTTTACAGAATATGGAAACTTCAATCAAAAAGTCCCACTTTTTAACTGACTTCTCACTTTTAATCCACTTTTTCGAGGAAGTGAGAAATCTCACGTAACTGAACATTTTTGCAATTTCTTCACATTATTGAAGTAGCCACAAAGTGGAGTCCATGACACGTGAGTGTGGAGAAGAGCAAACCACACACCACCTATAACAATACAGTCTGAGTCCTGTCACATGCACAATGGATGACCTTCTTATAGCAACACCAGAGGCACTCCACATGAACAGCTACTGGTCAAAGTACATGTACTATAATGCCAAATTTCAAACTTTGTGGGGGGTGTTTGTTTGTTTTTAAATACATTACAACTGTACCCTTGGTTCACTCCTGATACATTAAATAAAATTGAAATGGGGGCTGAACGTTTTTAATTCAACAATATTTTCAAAGAACAGTTACTGGTACATTGCTACTTTCTACTTATAGACTCTGACAATGCTGCAGTGAATAAAACTAGAATACAGCTTTCTACAAAATGAAACAACAACGCTATTTTCATTTTCAACAAAAACCTTAGTTTTCCAACATGTTCTACTGCCCACTTAAGCTCTCCCACATCACAACTATTCAACACTAGACGTTGAAACTTCTCTATGTTAATAACATAAATGGCATGGAAAAGATGTCTGCTATCTTGAAAGCTTATATCCTTGCTACAAAAGTATTGTGAATGTTTATGACAAAAAGCAGTGTAATATGAAAGTATGATAGTTTAAAAATCTCAAACATTAAGCTGGCCAACAAAAAAGTCTTTCAGTTACAATAAAACCACATTAATTGGAGCCGATCGTACCAAAGTCTGGTCAAAAACTGTATACTTTCCCAATCCATCCCATGATGTTTTCCTGGTCCCCCGCTGCCGCAGACAGTTCATCTGGTGTTGCTCACCAAGGCCAATGTCAAAGAGAATTTGGAATTCTTTGGTGCTCGTTTATTTTAAACAAGTGTTTGGGTTGCCATGTCTGAGAAGAGTTTATGCTTGGCTGAGCAAGGGTGTATCTATCTAGTATGTACATTGTTCTAACACTACCTTTTACTAAATCTAGCTTGCCTCACCTGTATTGGAAGACTACTAGGTTATGCAGCTATCTGTTCTGTTTCCATATATGCAGGAAATCAAAAAGCTCTAATCTGCAGGTAGTGAATGGGTAACGTTACAGCCTTTGAACAAGAAATAAGAACTTTTATCCTAGCCTCAAAAATCTCAAGTTGGCCAGTGACTGACATTTGACACTTCCCATTAAAGCCCAATACAAAAGGTCCTGATAATTTGTGTATTAAATAGTCTTGATCATTTGTGTTCCAATTACACTGTGGAATACCACGTCACCACCCCACTCCCAGTCTGTTTAGAACAGTGAGGCTAAATTAGTATAATACCACCACAGACACTAAACTGTAGAAATGTTGAACACCATACACAATGTTACAGAAATATATTGGCCCTTGTGTGCACATGCTAAAAGAATTTCATCCATTTAATTCTTCATTTAACCTAAAACAATTGACAGTCCAAGTGAATCACAGCTTATAAGGTAGAGAGGAAACGCTAACATTCTCAATTCAGAACTGTATAAATCAACCATTGCTCAGTCAAACCTGAACTCTTCCTCAACATCACAATTTCTGTAAAATTCCAAAGGGGATATTTGCTATATTTAGAGCAGTAATAATAAAGAAAAACATGTACCTTTCTGTTGGGATAACCACTTTGACTATGGCTTGCGACAGAGTCTGTATATGAAGTCACATCAGATAATAAACATAGAATATGTGAGTATTGTTAACAAGTAACAAGCAAAAAAATACATATGCATTAAAAATTCTACACATCTATCACAAGTTTTGCAGGCAATCTCTGCTGCAAAGTCATACACTACGCAATTACATAAAGAGCAAATGGCTGTGTGCAGTGAATCACATAAGGTTCACTAATTTCAAATTAAGAAAACATTCCTTTGAAATGTCCAAAGGAAGAATGCACATCAATGCACTAAACAGGTAGTACTATGCTGATAACAATGCCCCCAATCGAGAAGGGCAGGCAGAAACACCTATGTATACAAAATGGCTTAACTTATTGAAAAGCAGTTTCTCTCTACTGCACCAAGTAGCAGTTTTCAAATTATCTCTTTGAGTTTTGAAAACAGCCTCTCAGTACAGCATCAAAAAGCTGCTTACAAAAACTAAAACCCCACTAGGCCCATACAAGCCCACTGCATGCATAATAAAGGGCTTGCTATATGAAGGGCACTGGGAGGAATGTTTCCTCCTATTTCCTATTTCCACAAGCTAACATTCATGACAGCTAAATCATGCTTAGATGATAGAGCTATCCTTCTACTCCCCACGTCCTCCTTTCTGGAGCCCAAATTTTCCCGGTTTGCACCACTGGCTTTAACCAAATGTAAGCACCGCCTATGTACTAACAGTGACTGTAGTGAAACCTAAGCAGGGCTCTCCTGTCAACCAGGATTTGAATCCAACTTGGGATCTTGGCTTCAGAACCTGACAGGGGAGGGCACCCTGTGTAGCTTTAATCACAATCAATATCCATGTCAACATAGCACTTAGCTATGGTTACAGCCAGTAGTAGTAATCTGAACTCCAAAAAGGGATAGGGAAGGAAACCTGCAACCTGCTTCTGATTCAATCAGGAGTGCCATATTTACACTATTCCTTGGTTTCCATGTCTTGCAACCCTACATCATTTATGTTTGAGATACTTACCATTTACTGCTATGCTAACTAATATCCTTTCAAATAGCCTGACATTCTGGCAGCTATCTTCAACTACGGACTGAATGTCTAAAATAACTTTCAATATAGAAACTACTTGTGAGCTCATTCTAGTGTTAGTTTATCTGCCTGTGTTTAAAATATATCATTTAAATAATTTAGTTATTGCAAATCTGGCAGCTAACAAATGGGGGACATAGGAGGAAAAAAAACCAGGGAGTGTGGAGGGGAAAAATGGTGGTCAGATTATGAAGTCCAATTAAAAACAAGGCCCATTTCTGTGGCCTTCCCAAGACAATATCTCAGGAAAAAAGCTCTTAAAGTAAGACAGGGAAGAATTTGGTTCATCTAAAAACTGGATAATGCAATACTATAAGACAATTTAAAAGGCTACCATAGATTTAGCATTTATAGGGCGAGGTATGGCCCTGAGTAACTTTTTACCTTCTCAAAATCCTCTTTGTTTTTGGGTGGTGGCAACATGGGTGCGTTGGGGTTCTTCAACCTCTCTCTGGGCTGAGCATTAAATGGCAGTCCTGAAGGAGGCGGTGGGAGAGTATGCTCCATCATCGAATGGGGAATGTATATAGGATGTGGAGGAATAGGGACAGCTTTTCCCCAGCCTAATTTCATTTCAAAAGACATGATCATCTTCCCTGCAAAAATAAAAATTGCACTTGGTTAAAAACAAGTAAACTGTCAACAACGTATTTTAGCAAGTCTTTAGCTCTTGGGAAGTTTACCTCTGACACATACATCCATATCACAGAGAAACAATGTTGCCTGCTGGCAAAATGCTAATTCTCTCCCCAAATCCCACGCTTCCAGATTCCATTAAGTGTATGCTTCTCCTGCTTTAATTCAAAATTGGAAAAAAAATGGCTAAATATATTATGTACTTCCTACAATAATTAAAATACCCCAGGCCTGAAAGACGAATGCACCACAATATTTTACAAGATCTAAAAGAAAGATTGTTCAGTTTGCAATCTGGCAAGTTTTTGCATAACTAAAATGCTTACATTGCAATGATGTCATTGTTTTAAAAAATGACAATCAATGTCATTGTCCAGAGTGTAGGAAGACATCTCATATTGTGCTCCAAAATTTTGCTGAAACACTCAACAACTTTTACCACTTATAAAATATGAAACACCATTTATAACTTCTGTTATTCCACAGCCAAAGAAGAGCAGATTGCTATTTAAAAAAACAACACCAAACCAGCTATTATAAATATTAAATCATCTCTAAAGATGACAATAGGTTTTTGAAAGACAACACAGAAAATCATTTAAACAATCTTGTGTCTACTGAAATTACCTTTTTTTCAAGACTTCTAGTGCTTCTCAGGCTTGCATTAAAAAGACATTCAGAAGGTGTTCCAGTATCTCTCAAAATCTCACAGTGCATGTCATGAAATAACTATAAATGTGAGGTGGGAAGTGATGGCCCTCCACAAAAAGAACGACAACTCCCCGCACCCCTCACCATTGGCTATGCTGGCTAGAACTTCAATTTTAAACACTGGGAAGGCCACATATTTCCCATTGCTGCCCCATGATCATTCCTATCAATATAACAGCAGGTACTCACTAACTCCTTCATTTTGACAGAAAATTAAGATAGGCTTTTAGATTGCAAGATGTGGCTTTAAAAAAAGACATCAAATTGTCTAAATGCTATTTATTAGTCCCAACTAAAGTAGACCCACTGGCTCAACTATTGAATGGCTAATAATAATAATAATAATAATAATAATAATAATAATAATAATAACAATAATAACAACACCGTTGCTCAGATGATTCATTAGAACTTGCGCCACAAATACCATCTGCCTGCGACAAAGAACTGGTGGGATCACAAGCCAGAAAAAGTTACAGAGAATGAACATGCCAAACTCCTCTGGGACTTCCGGATTCAGACAGACAGAGTTTTGGAGCATAATACTTCTGACCTCACAATCGTGTTAAAAAACAAAGTATGGATCGTTGATGTCGCAATCCCAGGTGACAGCAGGATTGCAGAGAAACAACTGGAAAAGCTGGCATGATATGAGGAATTAAAGATTGAACTGCAAAGACTCTGGCACAAGCCAGTCAAGRTGGTCCCAGTGGTGATCGGCACACTGAGTGCAGTGCCTAAAAACCTTGGCCTGCACTTAAACACAATCGGCGCTGACAAAATTACCATCTGCAGAAGGCCATCTTACTGGGATCTGCATTCATTATTCGCCGATACATCACACAGTCCTAGACACTTGCGAAATGTCCAACGTGTGATCCAATTCAACAGCCAGCGGAGTGTCTGCTGTGGACTCATCTTGTTGTGTTTCTAATCATCATCATCATCATCATCATTTTATTTATACCCCGCCCCCTCTCCCAGAAGGGACTCGGGGCAAGTTACAACAAGCAACTAATACAAAAAATATAAAGAAAAAAATATAAAGCTAAATCCTATAACTCAATGAGACTGTTTCAGAGGATTTAAACCAATCTGTTTCTGAAGAATCCCATAACTGAATGGGCTCAGTGGATAATGGTAATTTTGGCTCTATGAAGTCCTACCCTCAATCACACACGTGTCAAAAACAAGGTCCATGGGTCAAATCCAGCCCACCCATTTTATTTGGCCTGCAAGGTTTCAATTCCAGGGCAAGAAAGTTACATTTATAGTCTTAGAATTACAAACAGTCCCTTGAAGGCAACTATAAGGCTGATGTGGCCCTCAGCGAAAATGAGTCTGACACCCCTGCAATGTCACCCTGGATGCATTCCAAGGTGAACTTCCAGAATTCCTTTCATTTTTTTTGTATGCACAAGAGGGAAAAACGGAGTTAACAAATATTTATTTATTTATTTATTATTTACCATATTTATATACTGCCTTTCTCAGCCTGAAGGCGACTCAAGGCAGTTTACATTCAGCAATCAATGCCCCCAACAACATAAAATATACTTTTAACACATTGACATTAACATATAATATAAACCATATAAAACAATAAAACACAAGTCCTCAGCGTCTCATTACTAAAATCATTTTCCCGTCGCATTGTCCAATCATTCCATGGATCTAAATTAGTCTGTTACACTGCATTTACAAATGCTTGCTCAAAAAATCAGGTTTTGACTCTTTTTAGAAATGTTAGGAGGGAGGGGGCTGATCTGATATCCCTAGGGAGGGATATCAATGAAATATATATTCATTTCATGGGGCCATGCCTGAGATTACTCAAAGTTCTCTCATATTAGCCTCACAGTTGGCAAACAGCCCAAGAACACAAACAGAAGATTTTCCCTCGCCAGCTTCTCCGCTAAAAATGCATTGCATTTCCCAATGCTCTTCCCAAGACAACAAGTGTTAAAGTTAACTGAAGAGATCTATTACCGTTTAAGTTCTTCAATGCACGTTCAGCATCTCTCCTGTTCATGAAGGCCACAAATCCACAATTCCTTTCCCTTGCTCTTTCTTCATCAGTTCTTGGCCACATAATTTTGACACTTGCTAGAGGTCCAAAGCGTCCAAATTCCTGACATAACATCTCTTCATTCATCTATAGAAAACAAAAAAATAAAAATGAGGTATTCCTCACAGTTGTACACCTATTTCATCTGGCCTATGTATAAAACAGGAAAACGACATGTCACAGAGTTGGATAGGGCTTCAACAACCATCCAGTCCTTTTCCTGCGAGTGCAGATATTCATCACAAAAATAGTTCTAAGGGTTGGCCAATTTAGTCTTTGTTTAAAAACCTGTAACAATGAATAATCTGTGATCTTCCAAAACAGTCTATTCCACTGATAAATAACCTTTTAGCATGCTTATAATTTGAATCCCACTGTTTGGGTCAAGCCCTTAGGGCAAAGAAGAAGAAGACGAAGAAGAAGACGAAGAAGAAGACGAAGAAGAAGTTTGTTTAATTTTCCCCATCACATCACTTCAATTATTTAAAGAGAACTATCATATCACCGTAGCCCCCGGTGGTGCAGCAGGTTAAACCGCTGAGCTGCAGAACTTGCTGACCAAAAGATCTGCGGTTTAAATATGGGGGGTGAGCTCTCACTGTTAGCCCCAGCTTCTGCCGATCTAACAGTTTGAAAACATGCAAATGTCAGTAGATCAATAGGTACTGCTCTGGCGGGAAGGTAATGGCGCTCCATGCCGTCATGCTGGCCACATGACCTTGGAGGCGTCTACAGACAACACTGGCTCTTTGGCTTAGAAATGGAGATGAGCACCACCACCCCAGAGCTGGACACGGCCAGACATAATGTCAAGGGGAAAGCTTTATCATATCACCACCTAACTTTCTCTTCTCCAATTTAAACAGTTTAAACAGTTTAAATTTGATTTCTAGACCTTTTATCTCCATGATCATCCTTATCAAGACACATTCTAGAATCACAAGACAAGGGGACTACATATGAGGAAAGAATACCTTGAAAGTTCATTCTTGTATCTTAGTATCATGGATTAGAACTAGCCCTAAAACATACAAAGTAGACTGTAGCTACCAACACATTTAACTTGCAAGACTTGCAATGCTTTCTTTGTCTTCACATTTGTAAGTATTACCTGGGGATTAATGTTTCCAAGGTACAAATTTGTTGTACTCGGGTCTCCTACATCATGAGAACCTGGAGCATAGTCATCTAATACTAAAAACAGAGAAAACCAGATGTAATCCAAACAATACATTTTAAAATTACCCAAAAATTAATTAAAAGTTATGAAACTATATTACCACCCGAAGATCTGTTTCTTCTTGAAGGTGCATCCACTAAGGAAGAGATAGAATGTCTATTTAGTCCCGATGTTTTGCAGCATGAAAATTAGCATAAAGAATAACGACAACTTACTGGAGCGGCGCTGGCCATCTGAATCGGATTGAGGAGGCTCAAATCGACTTAATCTCCCTTTTGTTTTATGCCTTTCATCACGCTCTTCTTGAATTCTATAGAAGAAATTTCATAAAAGTGGTAACTGGCTGCAATCCTCATATCCCCAATTAAAATGTTTTGTTTTTTAAAAAGCCAACAATATGCACACTAATATTAAACAAGCATACTATATTAACAACATAATCTTAAAATGGAACGTTAAACACAAAAATGTCAATTTTCATGTTGCCAGTTAGAAATTTAGCTCCAGAGTGGAAACCAGTTCAAACATTAGTTTCTTTTACTAGGTAACCTCTTCAAAAGTGATCCAAATTGTACCAGAAAATGTGTTTAACAAGTCTGGAGCAGTGAGTAGAGAGATGTAAGTACAATGACTGTCTATAGAGCATGTAAATCTGAAAAGCCACCTGTTTTGTAGACATTAGTATTAGATATCTTTTCATACCAAACAAGAAAACACTGGCAATAAATACTAATGTTTGGCTTTCCTGCTAGACATGAGTGGAATCCAATATGAGGTGTACAAAAATTGCATAGAATCCTAGATTAGATGGCCAGACCCTGGGAATCAGCACTGATCTATGGACCACCATTTTCAGTAGCACAGTACAACTACACTTCTATGCCATCTACTGGATGGAACAAGGAATCTATGCAATTTCTCTCTGAAACCAGGGCATGGCTTTCTCATGAATCTGAGAATATGAGAAGTAGGATAAGTCATGATCTCCCAATGTTGAAATAAGTGGATTAACTAAGTGGAAATAAGTGAACGGTTTTAAACAATGGGTTTTAATGTTGAGATAACTGATTTTAATGTTTATGTATGTGCATCATCTATTTATGTCCCAGCATTGAATGTTTGCTGTTTGTATGTTGTGCTACGCCCTGAGTCTCCTTTGGGGTGAGAAAGACAGGATATAAATGCTTTAATTAATTAATTAATTAAATCTATGTGATCCTATTTGATCAACAACAGCTGGGGTCAAAGGAATGAGAACCACTGAGATATTGCAGCTTGACAAAAACAGGGAAACCTTTTTTTAAGGATAATGGACAAGGAAAACTTATAAAAGGGGAGGATGTTGCAGAACAAACAGGTTTGTAGGAGAGAAAAGTGGTTATATGAACACTTGTGCTAAGCAGAACAAAAAAAAGCAACTGTTCTGAAAAAATGCAAAAAAAATGAACGGAAGGGTCAAATGGGGGACAGAATAGGATGTAAAAACAGTCCAAAAATCCTATCGGCCAGCCTATTCTGTAGGAATAGGTGCTGTATGCAACAGAAGTAAGGGTAATACAACAAAGAAGATCAACACAAAAGGTATCCTGCAACCTTCTAAAAACAAAGGTGTTCACTCCCAAGCAGCCTCTCTACACAGTTATTTATTTCCAAATGGAAAATCTAAACCAAGGGCATGCTGGGAAGGCTATTTTAGAAAATCAATAAGGCTTACAGGGAACTTTTGAGGACCAACCTAGAAGCTATGCATTTCAAGAAAGGTTGTTAAAGAGGTAATAGTTTCTCTCCAAACAGCAATAAGACGGCTTTCTTTACCTTCCTCTGCACTACTGAACAACCCTGAAAACCTTACACCAACACAGTACACAAACAAGATCCCAGGGTCACACAAATCCTGTCTTCTGAGGAACAGGAAGCAACACTGCTGCTTCCAAGTCCAAATAATGTTTATGTGCTCTTTTATTTTATATTTTTCTTCCATTTTGTTTTAAAAAATTCAAGCTATAGATGGTTGAATTTGTGGATACAGAATCCATAGATATGTAGAGCCAACTGTAACCAAAGCATCTGTCATCATGGCCAAATGAGATATCACTAGGAACTGGACCACCCGATACATTATATACCACCATTATATACCAGGGGTGAGAAAGGTGGTATATAAATACTGTAAATAATAAACAATAAATAAACTGTTCCTATATACTCCTGGCAAACAACAAAACCTGGGAATCCAGTTCAGGATTGAGTCCAAGAGTAGCTCCAAGCTGCATACCCAAGATTACAAGGGGAATACGTATAACCCTCACTCAGCACAGGCTGAATTCTTATTCACAGATATCCCTTTCCATTCCCCAGTACCACATCTTACCTGTGTTTATTAAGCTTCAATTTGTTTAACCTCATCCAGGCTGGTTTAATATGAAAAATGATTTCGTGAAATCAGACAGAAACAAAGAGAGCTAGATGTCATCAACACTGAACTTCAAAACTCTGGATGACGTGTCCTGAGTATACATGTATCAATAATACACTAAACACAACAGGATTCAGATTGTATCTTTCATCAACAGTTTCATTTCAGTGAAACTGCCAATTTACAAAACTCTACAAATATTTAAATATATAATTGAAACAGTTTGGGTTTTCCAAAATTATTTTGTTTATTGCTATACATCCTATCAATCAACATGGGAGTAAAGTACTTACTGTTTTAATTCCTCTTTAAAAAGCTCCAAATTGCTTTTCTTCTTTTCTTTTTCCCCCTTCTTCAACGGCTAAAAACAAGATGAATAACATTATTTATTTATTTATTTATTTATTTATTTATAGCATTTACACTCCATCCTTCTCACCCCCGAAGGGGGACTCAGGGCGGTTTACAATAGGCAACCATTAGATGCTGGATGCTATGGCAGTTTTATGATACAATGCAGCACGTCAATTTATCCAATTATCTACAGTATTCTTAATGTTATTCTGGAAAACAGATGTGGCATGAAAACGTAAACAGATAAAAACGTATCAGCTCAGTGTCATAAATAGCTATGCAAAAAGCTTCAGGTCGTGTCATGGAAGTACACAAGAAGCTCCATTTCACAGACATAGAGCACAGCGCAATTTCAGGTGGAAAGAGGCAAAACGACATTCCTATCAGTTACTTGTGCCCCAACTTCATTCAATTTAGTGTACCCCATTTTCCTTGCAAAAAGAAATCCTAGGATACTGGCTTCATTTACTAGCTATAAAAAGCTGACTTCCTTTACTTTTCAACCAGGGATGGAGAATGCATGGCCCTCCAAATGCTGGAGCGCAAACTACCAAAATCCTTCACCACAATACGTTGGCAAGGCTGCTGGAAGTTACAGGACAACAATTATTACCCAAGGGCTACATGTACCCCACCCCTAATTAAGACAAACGTGTGAAAAAGTAGTCAGCACTCCAATGAACATTATAATTTACAAATGATATTTTTAAGCAAACTCAAAATATTTTTCAAAGAAATGTTCCTTAAAACCCACCAAAATAGTTGTAAAGAAAGAGAAATACTACAACAAGCCATATGGAAGACCAAGCTATGATTTCCAATTTTACATACATTAAATTTTGGGGTTCCACTGAAGTTCTGGCCTTGCTACGGTTACCTGAACCGTATGATACAAATGAACAGCATTAAATGACCTCACTTTCTGTCCCAACGTACCATAGAATTCCATTGGAGGGCCTACAGATGCCTAGATAAGCATCCTCTCCAGGAATTTGCTAAGTCCTCCAACACAACTCTACAATGACATTCATGGAAAGCATACCGTGGAATCTCCTGGAGAACCTAGAAAATGTCTAGAGAAACCATTTTCCCTTGGTTGGGTAAGTGAAATCACAAATATGTGTTCCATAGTTTACTGGAGAAAAAAAACAAATACACTTTAAAAACAGATCAACAGATTTTTTTAAAAAAAAAAACCTACACTTACCGGCTTTTTCGTTTCTATCACTAGAAGGGATGGAGGCCTCTCATTAGAGGACGAAGACTCTTTCGGTTGACTTTTTTGATCAGCAAAGCGTGATGAAAGTTTGTAGATTTTTCCTCGTTTTTCATCTGTGTCATGGTCTCCTGAAAGACAGGCCAGTGGTTACTGAAAATATCTAACGGAATCAGATTAGCAAGGAACAAAAGAACTCCTTGAAATACACCAACAGTTGGTCTTTACTCTGCTGAAAAACCTCCAGAGAGGGATACGCCACTGTACTCTGAGGCAGCATATTCCACTGTTGGATAGCTCTTGAAAAGCATAAAATTCAATTAAAATATATATCCACGAATACATGTAACATAGAATAAGATCACTTTCCTATCTTTTGAACTAGAGCTCCAACGTGAAAACCAAAGATTAAAAAATGATATACTTAGAAATAATTCAAAAAAAGAAGAAAGCATTTCTCCTCTAAAACGTAGTAGCTAACTTTACCTTTGGATGCATTAACAATGCCTCCTCTGACAAACGTCTTCACTTTACTGCCATCACTTCCTTCAAATGCCGCAAGGAATTCTTCATAAATTTCTGCAGCAGCCTTTTCATCCTCCTATACACCAAAATGATAAGCAAATGACTAGCATAAATTACCTATTTTCACATTCATTATATTAATTTGGTTGTATCCATACCTTCCTGAAGTATAAGATAACTCTCAGTGCTACATTTTAGGATATTAAACATTTACTTCTAAATATGCATTGTTTCATAAATGCTTGGGTCCTAAGTTGGTCTTTTCTTCACATAAAGTAAAAGGCAATTTTCATCAACATCTTCCACCAAATGCAGCCTTATCATAACATATACCTCACCACTCAGGAGCGGGAGACTAGAGAGAAAAGCAATGGTGGAAGCACAACTGTTGAGTCCATAATAAAGAAAAAAGGATACAAGTTAAACTGAGCAATCTTAACGATCAAAATAAGCTTACCCAAGTTACTATCCTTGAATGCTTATCACTGTGCGTACTCAAATAAACTCAGAAACTTTACGCCAAAACAACTGACCCAAAATTTGGGTCAACTTATACATGGGTCAATACGATGATTCTGTTCACAACAGGGCTGCTTCTACGTTCTGTAAAATTCTAATCCTCACTATTTTTCTGCCACTGTATCATCTCTGGCCATTCCTGGCCCCAAAACCAGCCCTCAACTTACACATGAAGTTGACTTAAACTTGAGTATATGTTACCCATCCAGTGAGAATCAGCACATGAAGAAAGTAGCATCTGACTCACCTATTCCAATGGTCACTTCCTTGGGAAGAACTAATGCTTGAGAAGAAAAGTCAATGTGGAGTCACCAGAAAACCAAGAACTCTACTTTTTTTGCATCCTTCTTGCATGGACACTCCACACCAATAAGAAATCCTCTTCAGTTTTTTTTTTTGTGAACTTATTCATAATGCCATTTTACTGTCAATAGCCTAGCACAAGCAAAAAATAAAATATATCCAACTGATTAAAGGTCCTTCCAACAGCATTACCTTTTTCTTCAATTCCTCCTGCTCCTTTTTGCTTAAAGTCCTCTTGGCAGCACTCATCTTGCCAATACTGAATGCTTTAAGTTTGTTTTCTAAAAGCGGCTGCTAGACAAAAAAAAACATTAACAGTTTGTAAGGATGTAACATGAAAACACCAAAACAATAGTTACAGAAACTTTCAATCATACAATCTTTTAAGTGAAAGAAACTGTACAGGTCTGCTTACATAAACTATTACAAAAGCCCCATCTTTCTTTAAACAATAATAATCTCTCGTGGGTGTTGTATTGGAAGAACTACAGGATTTGGAATGCTGCTGAACATAATTTCACCAGAAGAGGTCCTCAAGGATGTTTCATCCAGTATGAATTCTTCAGAAAGTTAAGATCTTTAGGAAAGCTCTGAACCAAACAAGTGCCCATAAGGCAAATACAAGAATGCTTTGTTTGATTACAAGGTCTCAGTTACAGAGCATCTTCCCCATGTAAGATCCATTTAATCAATTCTCTGAAACAAATTAAAAGCATTTGAAATTATGCAAATATGCTTTAAAGGATACTTTACAATGATTGTTGGATTGTGTGATTTTAATTGTTTGTATTGATATGTTTTTAATTCCAAATTTTAATGTTAAATGTCATGTTTTATTATTTAATTGATAATGATAATTGTATGCTATTATTGTTATGCTAGGCTTCTGTATGTGAGGCATTGAATTTTGCCATAATTGTGTTGGGAACAGCTTTGAGTTCCCCACTGGGGTGAGAAAAGCAGCATGATGTAAATAAATAAATAAATTACTGTCAATGTAGCTGTTATTTTGGTCTGTCTTTTATATTTTAAATTTGCTAATTGTTACAGTAATTTACCACCAAGATTAGAGGATCGCAGTTTGACTGAGTCTGAATTGATGTTTTTATATGTGCATGTATTTTATTTTATTGTATTTTATATTTTGTTCACTTTAATGCTTGTTTTTAGGCACTTTGTGCCATCTGTAAGCCACCCAGAGTCCTTTCGCGGAGATAGTGGCTGGATATAAGAATAATGTTGTTGTTATTGTTGTTGTTCTACTACTACTACTACTATCTGCAACTGTACTATCAGCCACCTTTATTCTTTTTGAAACGAAGTATGCAGAGTTAGTGCAGTAGTCTGAGCACCTGAATATGACTCTGAATACCAGAAGTCATTTCCTTCAGCCCTGGAAACCCACTGAGCGACCTTGACTAAATCAACTTCTCAGTATCAGAAGAAGGCAAAGGCAACTCCCTTGTGACAGATCTACCTTAAGTTTGTTATATGTCAGAAATGGCAAGCAACAATGTTAGATTACAGAGCCAATAAAGCAGCCATGTGTTAATGCTGGTTTGGAGGAATCCCATTCCGCCATTTTAATTACAAACTGGAGGCAGGAAAGGAACAGATTCCATAGTTTATTCTATGAAAATAGTTTCACCAATTGATCTGATACTTGGCAATGCAAGAAAATCCACTTTGGGAATGATTCATGCCACCAGACTTGGAACAGTTCGAAAACAGCTTATTTAAAGAAGTATAAAGTTTGATGATTTTCAGAATTTTGACAGGCATTGTACATTTCTTTGCTAAATTTTGATTTTTCAGCTCATTTCTCCATCAACAAAAACGTTCATGTTACAGAAGGAGAATGTTTATTATGTGCTGTTTCTGAAGAGTGGCATATGGGATTTATGTCTTATGGGAAGCCAATGTTTTTTTCTAAGAAAATTATGTAAAGTTTTGTGCTTTTAAAACTTATGAACAAAGCAAACCTACGTCAATGAACATCATCTTCAAAATCTGTTACCAAAAAAACCTGAAATATTTAGTCAAGATAAAACTCTCTCAATGACAGAACAGGCTATACCACAGAATACTGAAGTTAACCAAAATGCATAAAACATGCCATAATGCTACTTAGGAAAAGATCAGCCAACGTAACTGCGAAGGGGTTTCCTTCCAATTCAAAGAAAAGGGGTTTCAGGAGAGAGAAGTTTCGATTTATTATTTATTATCCTTAATGGTGCCACCAATTTGTGATGTGAGGTAATTTTGGGAGATTGGGCACACTAAACGCCGAATTAATGGAGATGAGGCAGTCTTAAAATCAAAGAGAACAAGTTTATTTTGAAACAAAGCGTATGGTTGCAGTTTGGTGATAAACTTGGAAGATACTTGGAGAACGTTACATATAACTTGGTTGTGATACAGTACAGACTTCTGATGTTACAACTTATCAATAACTTTTGCTGTGGTGAAGCACTTTATTAAACAATGGTTCCTGAGGTGAATAGTCTTCCTGTTTGATCCTTCCGTGATCAAACCTCAGATCTCTAGTTCACTTTTAACTAGTGATCTAAACAAGCTTCTATTAGTCTTCTCTAACTAATGAAACTAATAAGGTTTCCCCTTCAGCCTTCCTAAACTGAAGAAACCTCTGACTATTCACAAACACTGCTTCTCTACTTCCCACTCTCTCTCTCAACACTTCATTTCCCTGAGCCTAAAACCTAACTCTTCATTCCTCTGAGCCTAAACCCCCAACTCTTCATTCCTCTGAGCCTAACCCTAACTGACTTTAACTGTCGCTTTTCAAAACTCTCCTCTCTAAGCTCCTCCCACTTCTCTACAGCATCGTTTCCATGGTAACACACTCCTCACAGCTAGGCCGCTCCAGCATTAGGGCAACCAGTGCAAACACAAATACAGTTATAATCATATCATTTACAATCAACTTCTGTACAGTAACATTAATGCATATCTACAGATTTACACTTCAATTCCTCTGTGCAATACAACTCATAAACTCACGTCAAATGGCCACAGTAAATAAGTTTTCTTTACATAAGATTTGTATACATTCATTCTGAGACTTACATGAGGTTCTGGAGATGAAGTGGAACGGGTTGTATCTGGAGGTCTGGCCTAAAAATAAATGGAAATAGAAGAATTACATTCAGGAAGTATTTACTGATTGTCAACATTTTATATACATAAAGATAAGAGATTTTATGTGGACTACTTTCTCTATTAACACAAAACACAAATGTTTGAGATTCCAGAAGTATTTGGAGATTCTAAGTCATCATTACACTAAGACTCTTAAATTGTTGTTGTTATTTACATTATTTTATTCAATTATTATTACATTTATTAATTTACTCTATTTATTATTGTTATTATTACATTTATTATTTTACTCTATTATTATATTTACATTATTTTATTCTATTTATTATTATTATTATTACATTTATTATTTTACTCTATTATTATTGGAAGGATACATAAGCGCATTTACATTGAAGGTTAGAATAATGGATTAATCAGAGTTGGACAGTCTTATCTTAAATTACAGTTTTATGTAAATATTCAAAAACATTTAACCTACTGATGCCTCAATTAATTGAATTTTACTGGTATCTATTTTTATTTTGAAATTATCAATAGCTGCTGCATTTCCCACCCTCATTGTATACTCGAGTCAATACGCTTTTCCAGTTTTTTGTGGTAAAATTAAGTGCCTCGGCTTATATTCGGGTCGGATTATACTCAAGTATATATGGAATTGGATTTTGAAACATTTTGCTTGTTGTAAAAGCAAGGATTGTTGATAAAGCTTCAGCCACATTTTCTCTATGATAACTCATTCAGGGATTGATTTTCCTTCCTAGGGGTAGATTTCTCTCACTTCCTGTTGCCTCACCCCCATTCGTAACTATTAGTTATTTGGAAGTTAGATATTTGTATCTCAAGAACTGGCAGTATATAAATGTATTATCACCCATGAAAGCCACATTTTCTTTTGCCTTATGGTGTATGAGTACTTAGGGATCACAGAACATGATGCAACTGAACAATCAATGAATTCACTTGGCAGTAAACAGAAGATGGCAGCAAGTAATACTTGAATGGTTAATTATATACTTTATCTGGGACTTTGGCATCCAGTTTACAAGTACCAATGATTAAAGTCAAAAATAGTGAAAAATCATTGCACTTCCTCACAAATTTCTGATTTGCATTAATATGAGCTATAATCAAACAAATTATCCTTGTTGCACTCTAGCTCCCATCAATTTGAAACAGCACCATGACTAATCATTACAGATTAAACGACTTGTTTAATATGTTCTGACAACTCAAAATTTACCAGAGTAAAATTTGAAATACCCTTATCTTATGTGTGTGATCATGTAGTTGGTAAAAGTGATATTCCACATTGACCATCAGATGGCTCCATCAGATGGCTCCTTGAGTTGCCAATTTAATGACATCTAGTATTAACAAAAGCACAGTATCATTCTCAAAGAGACTTTTGTACATTTCATATGAATATGACATATCATTCAATGAATCAAGTATTGAAATGCCTCTTTTTTACTTTTTCCTATAGTTCTCATTTGCAACTTTCATACAGGAAGTGTTAGCTTCCATTTAAATACACAAAGGAGTCACAGGCCCCTTCTATATTGCCCCTATATCCCAGGATTTGATCCCAGATTATCTGTTTATTCCAGATTATCTGTCAGATAACCTGGGATCAGATTCTGGGATATAGGGCAGTATAGAAGGGGCCACAAAGTCTGAAATGCTGTACTGTTTATTACTGTCCAGATCTTTTAAGTTAAAATCTGGAATTTGATCTCTCAAGAAGAATCTTAAAAAGAGCATTAAGACCACCATTGAAATCCATATTTTCCATCTTTAACTTGATTAATAACATTAATTCCACTCAATTATATACTACATGTCAAATAGAGAATCTTACTGAAGTATTTTTATTCATGCTGTCAATGGTTTGTACCCAATAGTTGCTTTGTCCCAGTAAAATGCATTCATTCAAGTTGAGGAACCCCTATTTTCACCAAAATCCAGTCTCACCGAAGCCTCCAGTATTTTATCTGCAAATTTTTCTGTGATAGTTATCAAAAACTGCTGAATGATTTCCTTCGCTTCTAGAAATAATTTTACAGACTGCTAGTGCTGAGCTGCATAAGCACCCACATCAAGACATTTGATTATTTATATAGAGAGAGCACCATCAGACAGAATCATGAAATTGCTGTATTTCAAGATTCCAGCATAGCTGAACATATTTAAGTTGGAAAAAGAAAACAAGGAAGTTATACAAGCTATGACAGATTTAGAAGACAAGGCATGAGGCACTGTTCTTCCCCTAAATAAACAGTTTATTTAGGTAAACTTTTGCACCTTCTCATTTTCCATTACATTTACACACTTTTTATTATTGCTCCATGTGCTCTTCAACAAATCAATGTACATTAAGGCCTTCTTTCCCCAAATACAAACCATTATACAAAGTAGCATGACACTCTACTTCATGTGTTTTTATTCATCCAAACACAACCACAACATTTGGACTAGCACATGACGATACCTCTCTCAGAATTCTATATAGAAGTTCGATGCAATTACTAATCATTCATGAAAAATCTGTGCCTGAATTTTCTTGCTCACCTTGTCATCATAACCTTTATCATATCTATAAAAATGCAATTGTATGCTGTAATGTTTAAATAGGTTCTGCACAATGCTGGGCTCCTGAGATGTAGATGAAAAAGTATCTCATCCACAGAGAAAATATTTCTACACAAACATCTATGTGTGGTATTAACCTAAAAGTGCATATAGAATGAAAAATACTTCTAAAGCAATAACTAGGGCATAGAACACATGTGTTAAACTCAAGGCCCATGGGCCAAATGCAACCTGTCATGTCATGTGTCCCTCCAGATGCTGGACTATAACTCCTGTATCCCCTAATCAAGTGGTTCTCAACCTGGGGTCCCCAGATGTTTTTGGCCTTCAACTACCAGAAATCCTAACATTTTTGGGAGTTGTAGGCCAAAAACATCTGGGGACCCCAGGTTGAGAACCACTGCCCTAATCATTAGATATCATAACTGGAGCTGACAGGTGTTGTGACACAGTTATGTCTGGAAAGCTGCAGTTTGTTCGGTTTAGTCAGGATAGCAGGGTTTGAATGTTGATACAAGGCTTGTGAATATTACAACTGACTTTAAAACATTATTTAATCTTTCCCCAATCTCAGAGTCACAAGTGGTATTGGGGCTGCACTTCCCATTATTCCCAGTCTCAATGGCAAAATCAAAAGTGGTGGGAGCTATCATTCAATAACTTCTGGGGACCCAAACTGGATAAAAACTAAAGCATAATGACCACTATGTAAGACAATTATAGTTGGCCCTCTGTTTCAATGGCTTACCCCCAATGTAAACAACTAGTGCTGTGCAAGTGCAGTGAGTTAGTCAAGGCTCTTCTACTAGACAGTCATATAACTCTTACCTTGACTCTATCATTAATTAAAATGGAAACAGCAGTCAAGAAATCAGAAGAAAAGGGACCATGAAGGGAAAAAAATATCATCTTGAGTTTAAATATGTATATTTAAAAACCAAGTTAGAATGAACCAAGTCATAGTATTCCCAATTTCTATGTATTACTGTGAAAGCTGGACAGTGAAGAAAGTTGATAGAAAGAAAATCAACTTATTTTAAATACGGCTCTGCAGAAGAGTTTGAAAGACATCATGGACAGCTAAAGAAGATAAATGAATGGGTCCAAGAGCAAATCAAGCCCAAACCCTTCCCAAAACCAAAATGGTTAAACTGAGGCTGTCGTAGTTGGAATATATCATGAGACAACATGAGTTATTGGAAAATAAGACATCAGGAAGCAATAGGAAAAGAGGGAGACCCCATTATAGGTGAACTGATCCAATCAAGGATACCACTGATGAAATTGAGCAGGGTCTGGGCTCATGCATGCCCATCCTTCTTAGGATACCTATAAGTCAAAGTCGATGGTGCTAAATGACAAGGTCAATTGCAAAAATAAATAATAAAAACCAGAACATGTAATTTATAAAAACTAAGGATGGATCTTTCAGTAGCCCATGCCTTCATTACATCCCAGATAAATTACTGCAATGCACTATACGAGGTGCTGTCTCTGAAGACAGCTCAGAAACTACAACTTGTGCAAAGATCTGCAGCCAAGCTACTAACAGGAGCTGATGATAGGGAGCACAGCAATCCACTGCTAAAACAGTTCCACTGGCTGCCTATTTGTTTCCAGGCCCAATTCAAAGTGCAGGTCATAACCTATAAAGTCCTACATGGTTTGGGTCCAGCTTATTTGTTCAACTGTATTCCCCATTATGAACCAACTTGAGCCCTGAGGTTTGCAGGAAGAGGCCCTACCCTCGGTCCCACCACTGTCACAAGCACAGCTCGGGGGAACGAAAGAGGGGGCCTTCTCAGTGATAGCTCCCCGGTTCTGGAATGTCCTTCCCAAGGAAATTAGATTGGTTCCCTCCCTGTTGATTTTTAGAAAGCAACATAAAACTTGGCTCTGCAAGCAGGCGTTTGGAGACAATAGGTCTAAAATTGAGGTATTCTAGTACGATCAATGGTGTTAACATTTTTAATGCTTTTATTTCAGCAAAAGCAACTATTTTTGATGTTGATGTTATGTTACGTTCTTATATGTTTTCAGTAATTACAATGGTTCTATTTTAAGTTATGTTAATTTGACCTATGTATTATTTTTTTCTATTGTTTTAACTGTTACTTGCAGTAAGCCACCCTGAACCCGTTCTGGGGGAGGCAGCAGGATATAAATAAAACTTCTCCTCCTCCTCCTTCTTATTATTATTATCTACAATGTAGGATGCCATTTGACAGCACCTTCACTGCCATGGCTTAATATTATTTAATCTTGGGAGCTGTAGTTTTACGAGGTCTTTGGAATGCTCTCCCTAAAGCAGTGGTTCCCAACCTTTGGTCCTCTGGATGTTTTGGACTTCAATTCCCAGAAATCCCAGCCAGTTTGCCAGCTGTTAGGAATTGTGGAAGCTGAAGTGCAAAGATTTGCAGCCAAGCTACTAACAGGAGCTTGGCTGCTGGGATCCGAACGCCTGGGGTCCGAAGGTTGGGAACCACTGCCCTAAAGAAATCAAACAAGTGCCCTCTCTTTAGGAAAGAATTAAAAACCTGGAAGTGGAAGCTGGTTTTCAAAATTAGTTGATGACTTCTCATTGTGATGGTGATCTTTTAGTCTTGTTAAGACCTATTGGTTTTAACTGATTTGCCTCCGTGGTGCAATATGTTTTAAACCCAGTACATTTTTAACCTGTATATTTCTTTATTGTGATTTTTCTAATTTTTTTGTTTATGATTATTGGTTACATATGTCTTTTTTTGTTCTTGCTGATGTATGTATTGTGACTTGATTTTGTTGTGAGCCACCTCGAGTCCTTGTGGAGAGGGGGCAAGATGTAAATGAAGAAGAAGATAATGATGATGATTGTGGTCTTGAGCCTTCTATGCCTAAGAGAGCTGGTGTCTCTCCTAACTACAAATCCCAGGATTCCCTAGCACTGATCCATGGCGTAGATCAAGCATGGGCAATCTTCGGCCCTCCAGATGTTTTGGACTTCAACTTCCACAATTCCTAACAGCAGGCTGCTAGGAATTGTGGGAGTTGACATCCAAAACACCTGGAAAACAGAAGTACTTCATGCCTGATGCAGTTGCTCACTTGTACTCAAAGGAACCTCCCACTGAAAGGGAACAGGCTACCTGTCTGTACGTATCTTTTCCTATGAACCAGCTCGGAAACTAAGATCATCTGGGGAGGCCTTGCTCTCAGTCCTACCTGCCTCACAAGTACAGCTGGTGGGAACGAGAAACAGAGTCTTCTCAGTGGTGGCCCCTCAGTTGTGGAATCCCCCCCCCCGTGACATCAGATCAGCCCCCTCCCTACTAGCCTTCAGGAAGAGTCAAAATCTAGCTATGGGAGCAGGCTTTTGAAAATTAGGGTAATGCAGTATTTTGAATACAAAATTATGTGCAATTTGACCTTAGAATGGCCTTAGACCTTGAACTCTTGATGGTGTGCTTTTAACTTTGAATGTATTTCAATCATGTCTAATATGTTGTAATTTTAAACTATTTTTAGATGGATTTGTTGTTTTGAGGCACTGTGTATGTACAATTTTAAGCCGCCTTGAGTCCCCTTGCTGAGGTAGAGAAAGGCCAAGTTTAAATATGGCAAATAAATAAATCTATACATATAATAAAACTGAAAAATGTGTATGTGTATATGTGGTAGAGATGACCAGTTACAAAAACAGCCTCTGGCCTCCACAAACAGTGATGAGAACCCTCCAAATGCACTCTCTCATTGACATTGCAGGTTAGTGTGAGCACCGTGAACATGTAGTCCAAATGCTGCCAATGTCCTCCCCAAACACTACGGCTTACGACCCAAGGTATACTTTCATTTGGGAAGAATTTCATCCTAGATTTGACATGTTTCCTCCACCACAGGCAGGCATCCTAAGGTTCCTTGTGTGGAATTTGCATGACCCCACCCACTGTCTCTCCCTTAACCTTTTCCTACTGCACACAGCAAACACAGAGGAATTGATCAGCAACTGAACAGACTGGAGGAGTTTGGGGGACCGATTCAACATGATGGAATTTGTAGTTCACCCTACATCAAGACACAGCACTTGATGTGGTCCAGGTCCAAGACACTTCAATAATGCACCTGGACCATATTTGGCACGTAAAAAAACCCATGACCAGATTTGGGGGAATTGACCTTGATTTATAGGAGTTGTAGTTCCACTTTGACAACTGGAAAATAGAGGGAGAAAATGTGGAGGCCGTGACAGACTTTGTATTTCTAGGTGCAAAGATTACTGCAGATGCAGACTGTGGCCAGGAAATCAGAAGACGCTTACTTCTTGGGAGGAGAGCAATGTCCAATCTCGATAAAATAGTAAGAGTAGAGACATCAGATTGGCAACAAAGATCCGCATAGTCAAAGCCATGGTATTCCCTGTAGTCACCTACAGATGTGAGAGCTGGACCTTAGGGAAGGCTGAGCGAAGGAAGATAAGATGCTTTTGAGCTGTGGTGTTGGAGGAAAGTTCTGAGAGTGCTATGGACTGCGAGAAGATCCAATCAGGAAATAAAGCCCGACTGCTCATTGGAGGGAAGGATACTAGAGACAAAGTTGAAGTACTTTGGCCACATCATGAGGAGACAGCAAAGCCTAGAGAAGACAATTATGCTGGGGAAAGTGGAAGGCAAAAGGAAGAGGGGCCGACCAAGGGCAAGATGGATGGATGGCATCTTTGAAGTGACTGGACTGACCTTGAAGGAGCTGGGGGTGATGACGGCCGACAGGGAGCTCTGGCGTGGCCTGGTCCATGAGGTCACGAAGAGTCGGAGACGACTGAACGAATGAACAACAACAAAGTTCATTCTACATCCAAAGAGCACTGTGGACCCAACCAACAATATATCTGGACCAAACTTGCCATGGACAATGGGACTTGTAGTACCTTCATTCACTTCCAAAGACCACATTCCCAAACCGATATTACCAAACTTCTCAAAACAAACAATGCCTTTCTCAAATAAGCTAGTAATAAATAAACATGGTGAAGAAATCAAGCTTCCCAGACTAAAGAGGAGAAAATAAAACAAAATCAGAGTTAAGTCCACGTTGTAACAGAGATGAAATGGGAATACGAGAGTTTGGGAAGGGGTATTCATCTCGCACTTCTGGAGCCATGAAGCCCAAGGAGAAGAAGAGCGCGAAGTGCTTTCTCTGGAAGGGAGCGGGAGGTTAATACATATTTTAAGGAAACTGCTTCAATCTGAGCCTAGTTTGCTCCATTTCATGCTCCCCACCAGACCGCCTCCTACAGCCACCGAATAGGCTCTGCGAGAGGGAGGAGGAAGACCAGGCCGCAAAGCCTGCCTCCTCCGCCTCCGCCTCCAATCTCCTCCTCCTTCTCCACCTTCTCTACCGCGCCTCGAGTCCCCTCAGGAAACGCCAAGGCCTCTTTGCCCGAAATGTCCCCTTTCCCCCACAAACCCCCTTTGGAAAGGCGGCCTCACCTTCGCGCTGGCCTTCTGCGAACCGCCTGGCGTCTTGTCCGCCATCTTGGCTCCCTCTCTCTCTCTCTCGCTCTCCCTCGCGCAAGCCTTCGAGGCGGAGAGTCGAGCGCCGAGTCCGCCGATTGAAGAGAGGAATCCAAGGCAGAGAAAGGAGGAGGCGGGAGGAAAGGGGGGGTGGAAGAGGAGCAGGCGTGGCAAATCGAGAGCCGAGCGCACGACGCAGGAAAGCGCGGAACATGACGCTGCGTCATCAGACTTGGATCCGCCCCCTTCTGTTTGCCCAAAGGCCAAGGCTTGAGGCGGGAGAGAATTGCAGGCCTCATTTTTTGGTCCCTGCAGGCCATGGCTTTCTGCCTCACGTCTGCACTGTTGAATTAATGCAGTTTGGCGCTACTTTGGCTGCCATGGCGCAATGCTATGGGATCCTGGGATTTGTAGTTTGGTGAAGGCACTGGCAGGGAAGGCTAAACACCTTGTAACCAGGCATGGGCAAACTTGGGCCCTCCAGGGGTTTGGACTTCCAACTCCCACAATTACTAACAGCCCAATATATGTTCTTGTGGGTTTTTTCAGGGCTATATGGCCATGTTCTAGAGGCATTCTCTCCTGACGTTTCGCCTGCATCTATGGCAAGCATCCTCAGAGGTAGTGAGGTCTGTTGGAACTAGGAAAAAGGGTTCTGTGGAATGACCAAGGTGGGACAAAGAACTCTTGTCTGCTGGAACTAGGTGGGAATGCTTCAGCTGCATCTACAACAATCTACAAACCCACCAAGAAAATCCAACAAATGCTACGTTCAGCAAAGGACAAGAGGGATCCTCTCACCTCTGCAGGAGTCTACCGTATACCATGCAGCTGTGGACACGTCTACATAGGGACCACCAAACGCAGCGCCCAAACAATCAATCAAGGAACATGAAAGGCACTGCAGACTAACTCAACCAGAGAAGTCAGCCATAGCAGAACACCTCATGAACCAACCTGGACACAGCATATTGTTTGAGAACACAGACATGCTGGACCACTCTAACAGCCACCATGTCAGGCTACACAGAGAAGCCATTGAAATCCACAAGCATGTGGACAATTTCAACAGAAAGGACCATGAAAATGAACAAAATCTGGCTACCAGTATTAAAAAACTCTAAAATTACAACAGCAAAACAGCAGAGAGGAAACAACCAGGCACATCTAATCACCTTTCAAGAAGAGTTTGCTCCAGGCACAGTCAGCCCATTGTATGCTAATCAAGGTGGTCAGTTGAAAGATTCACACCTAGCCCAACTTACAAAAGCCTTTTGTCTCACCCTGGTCATTCCACAGATATATAAACCCCTTTTTTCCCAGCTCCAGCAGACCTCACCTCTGAGGATGCTTGCCATAGATGCAGGCGAAACGTCAGGAGAAATGCCTCTAGAACATGGCCATATAGCCCGAAAAAACCCACAACAACTTAGTGATTCCAGCCATGAAAGCCTTCGACAATACATCA